AGGTCAGACAACATTTGAATTTACTCCGTGTTGTGGCCGTTTCCTTCCAATATGTAATATAGTTTTCTTTGCATTGGTTAATCATTTGGTTTGGTGTGATTGGGTTGCTGTTGTGGTCCGGGGCATGTTGGCTGGTCTGGACAGAGTCTCAGGACCAGCTGGCTGACTCTCTTTCTCACACTCTCTCTCTTTCCCTCTTACTCATAATTGCCTTGCCTTTGCACTCTTTGTTTCTCTCTCACTCTCGCTGTCTATCCAAATCCTCCCTGCTGTCACATACTTCAATATTCATCCCAGTGTCACGTTACTGACGTGACAACATCTAGTGTGCTGACACATACACACACAGTTCACACTGATAAAAGCTACAGAGGGATTGCCCTGTGATTTCTAGCTCTCTAACAATAGGCCTCTCATTTTAGCAGTTGACATTTGATTAGGCCAGTTGAAATAAAATTTTTTAGAATTAGATTATCAACATTCATTTCGTAATTTGTCCCAATGAGAAATAAAACTTTTGGCTGTTTTCTGGTCTGTGTACTGTATGAAAGCAATGTCTGCACTATTTACATTTGATTAAAGTCAAATCCAGTCATAGCCAATCCTCAGCCCCCCTGGGCTGTACTGTACTCCTCATACTGAAAGAAATCTCTCTTATACACAAACATATATACACGTCCAACATTCATCATTACAATGCCTGAGCAATAGGGATGGGCTTCTAGTAGCGATACCTTTAAGGTATCGACCGAAACAGCCCAGTATCGAGTAGTATTGAAACGTCTCCAGTCAAACCAGTACTTTAATCGATACTTATTTAAAACAGATTGTGAAAAATGATTATTTGCATGGTTTTGCTTGCAACCAAACACGCAAGCAACACACCGAAAGAAAGAGATGAACGCGGCTGTTTTTTCCATTGTGTGCGTGTACTCGTTTGGAAGTCCATGCAAGATTTTAACAGCCACTCAGCTTTAGCTATGGTCTCAGGCATGTTCGTCACTGTTGCAAGTTTATCTCCACAAGCTTGACTTTTTCCATTAGTTTCATCTTCTGGTATCATTTCACTGTACATTTTTATTTGCTATTTGTACAACTCATGTGGTCAACTGTTTCACTCCTCCTCTGTCATTCAAATAGGCTACAAAAAACTCCCAAGCTGTCGTCCTTCCTCTGAGGATGACCTAATAAGGATGAGGAGTGATCTGATACAATTTCCCAATATTCTTATGTAATAGGTTTTTCAAAAAAGAAAAAAGAAATAGATCTCCTTGCTTGTCCATAGCATCAAAAAAAATAGCAAGGTATCGAATGAAGTATTCTGTTGGTATCGGTATCACTTTAAGGGTACTGGTTTTGGTGCTGGTATTGAAAAATTCTAAACGATACACAGTTTCTGTAAGAACTTTAGTTTACAGTATTCCTTCAGATTAAGGCTCCTCTGTGATAAAATGTCTGCCAGGTGATATGTATTATGTAGCACCTTTCTAGTCTTTTCAACCACTTAAAGTGCTTTTACATTCATACACTGAGCCTATGTGCTCAAACAGAAACTAGAACAGCCTGGAGGAGCCGGGGCTTGAACCGCTGACCTTCCGATTAATACGCAACCCACTCTATCTCCTGAGCCACAGCTGCCCCTATTTCCTGTACTGATCATCATATCATATTTCTGTATCTGAGGTGTATTCAGAGTTAGCAGTATCTTTTTAGAATCTTTTGGTGATAAAACCAAACATTTCCACCATATACAGCAACTCAAGAACTGTTTACACATCCATTATTGTGAGTAGAATCACCTTGATTGATTTACCTGCGTCTCTTTGGTAACAGTGTTAAGAGAAATCATCAGAATATATGAGCTACGTTACTGCTGACCTCTGTGGTACTGCATTCCAGTGTGCTATTTTTAGTGTGTATGCTGGTTTAATTTAGAGCTGAACAAGGCTATGAAACTAGAACACTGCAGCAGTCTGAGAGAGAGAGCGCGAGAGCACGAGAGCGAGATGGGAAGGTGAAATGAAAGCCGTGACCTCATCTCATCTGCTCTGTGACTTTGACTCCCGCAGCTCTGCATTGTTTGTGTATGTTCCCGTCGGTCCCATATGAACTGTAGGGTGCTTCTGTCTTGAGGAAAAGGTGCATCTTTTAGAGGAAATTGTGACTGCGGCATTCTGAATTTTTAAGTTTTAGTTAAGTTTGTGAACTTGATGGATATTTTGTTTAGTAAACAGTCATGAAAAACCTCTAACTGAGATGATTGAGTGAATATAGACTGGAGCTATTTCTATTTTAGTTAAGATTTTAAAATCTGTTAGTCAAGCCTTGTAGTAAAGATCACCACTGACTTCCTCTGGGTGACAGGAAGTGCCTTCTTTTTCTCTCCTTCCCCCATCACACAGAAGTTTATTTTTGTCTCAGCCGCTACTATCAAACAACCCATCATTAGAATGCAGACAGACTTCTGATCTCATCCTCTGCAGTCCTGCATTGCACATTTATGCAAATACGAACCTTTCTACTAACCGATATCACATGGGCCTAATGCTTAATATATAACATCACCTGGAGCTGTGCTCTCCTGCCCTCTGGCTTCTGTCATGATTGTGTGTGTTATTTATTTGGTTGTGTTTGGGTGGTGAAGATGATTTCTCCTGTAATTTTTTTTCATTAAACAACACAATAGTCTTCTAGATTCTTTCAGTATTTTACCCTCTCTTGCCTCTCACCCTGTGTGACCTACAAACGTTTTCCCTCTATTCTGGTGTGTGTGTGTGTGTGTGTGTGTGTGTGTGTGTGTGTGTGTGTGTGTGTGTGTGTGTGTGTGTGTGTGTGTGTGTGTGGCCTTTGTAGTTCCACAATGAATTTCAGCTGTGCTGTTTGTTCATATGACTTCTGTTCTGTGTCAGCTCTGCACTGATCATGCAGTTGGTGATGGGACATTTATAGAGTTTATCGTCACAACAGGGATCAGAATCACATAGATTAATCACAAAGAAGAGTATGTGTTGTTGCTCTTTGCATTTCACTATTGATTGCTACCAGTTTCACAACAGACACCCTGCTGCTGCTCTTCACAAACACTGAGGCAGGGTCTGTAAGTTTGTAAGTATTGTCTTGAAATACCTCATAAGAAAGCTGCCCGTTGTATTTAATGATAGCTGATAGTTATCATTGTTGTTTAAAGATTATTCTTCTGGTCTACAGTCTTGTGATCGTCAGTTTGATCCCTGTACTAACACGATAAATCCGGGTGGGGAAATTAAAAGAGCAATGTTTTCCCCTCCCTAATTACTATCACTGAGGACCCTGCACCCCACTCCATTGGAGCCTCTCGGGGACCAACAGATCACACTGTGGTTGTAATGTGCAGCTTAAATCTGTGCAGTTGTGTGTTCGGTCCTGTAAAGATATATAATATTTACATGAAATAAAATGTACAGATAGCTTTTTAGCACTAATGAATGACTGTTTTCATGCGTTATCTTACAACAGTAACAAAATAATATGTCAATAAATTCCACTCTGTGTATTGCTGGGGAGCAGGAGGGGACATAACCAAGTTAAGCCAGCTGTGAGTCAGCAGGGTACCCAGCCCGTGTCCCTGCCACTACACACCAGATGTCTGCACTGTGCGACTTTGTTGTTTGCCACTTGAAAGAGAAGAATGGTGGGACAATACTGGTGGGGACAGAATTTTCAGATTTACCTGTTTTAGGGACAGATTTCCTAAAGGTTTGTGTGAGAAAAAAAACATCTGCAAACGTGATATCACCAGCAAATTAACACATAAACTTATCTACTAACGACATGCACGCAGAATGACGTCTTTCAAAAGTGCAAGATAGCAGCTGTTGTGTGTGTGTGGGGGGGTCAATTTTATTGTGCAAAGTAATGGGAGGGTAACATGCAAATACATTTTTACTACACGCAATGTGATCTACCAAGCCTAAAAGCAATTTCATGTGAGAGCAACAGCATCTGTATTTAATACGTTTGAAAGGAAGGTGCAAACCGCCAAGTGTTGCAGAGATGGCTGCTGTTATCGGAGCGAGAAGGAGACACAGCCGTAATGAAAGAAGATGTAGAGGAATAAAAAATAATAGATAATATTATTCTATATCCAATTTATTGAAATAGAATTATATTATTTTATTTATTCAATGATTTTAATAAAATATTTTTTTTGTATTTTCCTTTAGCTTTGGCAATACTGTTATACTAACATTCATGCAAAAAAAGCAAATTTGGTTTCGACCTGACTTCTTTTCTCCGTGAGATGGAAGAATTTAGAAAGTTGCGTGGCGCTGCAGAGAGCCCCCAGCTGCAGTAGTGCATGGATCACTCGTAAAATTCGTCCAGCCAGAGGAAACGATCACCAACTGTTCACATCGGGCTGGTCGTTATAGCGACACAACCCATTGCAGGTATCAGAGAGGGAATGGGGCGTTGGGGTGTACAGGGCCAGGAGATCTCGGAGCGACCGGGCACGCTGCGGACGGTCGGCGATCGTTCCCTCTGGCTGGATGAAGCACGATCTGCTGGCATTTCCTCGCGTCTGGGTCATTCCAGCATACTGTAGCTGTTTCTGCTGGGGTTTTTCAGGTGTGCTGTCCCAAGTACTTAGTGCGATCTCAGGCAGGATGGGCAGGTACATCCGATTACCACATACTCAGGACGCACTGAATGAAACAAACCAAGGTTTTTATGCGGTGGCTGCTTTCCCTCCCAATTTTCCACGGCGGAAACCATTAAAACACGCACCCTCATTTAAATACGGCCACCTCCATTGTGTTTGCTCCTGTTGCCATCTATGCAATAATTCTTCTAAATCACCCATAACAGGTTCTACAATTGCACGTGCAATATTTTAGAATGCACACGCAATTTAGTTCTCTTTATTCGGGATGTTAGTAACTGGCCCTTAGTGTGAACTACTTTAAACAAGGTTCTGTGTGTTTGATGCTGACCCTTTGATATCCTGTGTGTGGGTCTTTCAGGATGAGGTGGACAGTCAGAACCCAGTGTTAAGAGACAACCATCAGCTCCATGAAGAAGTGACAGGCTGGCTCAAAGACCAGAAGGTGCAGGAAATTTTTATGCAAGGTAAGCTTTTTATTACACTCTTCATATTCAAGTAAAATATTACATTCTGTAGATTGTATCATAGTTACAGTGTTTGCTGACTGCCTGGCAATCATGTTCTGGTGACTGCACTCTACTCAGTCATCTCATTACTGTAACCAATGTGGCTTACAATATGAGGAACTTTCAGTTAGGATTTATACTTCCAGCAGTGGGACAGTAACACCGTGATGGCTCTGTTTCCTGTTCCTTCCAGGTCCCTATTCATTGAATGGCTACCGCGTGCGTGTTTACAGACAAGACTCAGCTACCCAGTGGTTCACTGGCATCATTACACACCACGATCTCTTCAGTCGAAACATGGTCGTCATGAATGACCAGGTACACACACACAATGCTCTTTAAAATGTATGTGTGCAGTTTATATGTGTGTGTAACAGAATAGTATAATGCATAAAGGGAAGTAATGACTACTTGGCACCTGAAGTAGTAGTGAAGTAATTGGACCGATATGACTTTATACACAGATTGAAGAACACTCAAAACCACCATTGTTCATTTTGACACCTGACAGAGAGTTAAGTTTGAGTGTTTTTCGAGAAATGTATGCTAGTTTTAATTTTTATATATAAATATATATTTATTAGTTCTAGTCAACAAAAATGTGTGAAATTTTAGACTCTTATATTTTTCATGTTTATATCTTCTAATCTCTCTGAAGCTTCAGCTGTTGCCATCTTTGTTGTGCATAGCTAGCTAGCCGTTGTTAGTGCCTATTCCACAGTGGCAGAAATTTTATTTATTCCAGACTGTAGACTGACTCTCTTTAGTTGTAATTCCCCAAATGGTTGTTTGAACAGAGCCGCATTATTGCAGCTACCTGTGCTCTTCACCGCAGCATGTTCTTTCAGCAGCTAGACTCATCCACTAGTTCGTTAATCTGTCTGGGTTTATGTTAAAAAAAAACAGCCATCTGAAAGTAACCTTAACTTCACCTCCACATCCCTTGATTGTTAATTTCCCCTTTGGTTAGCCAGTGTGCTGGTCTGCTTGTTCTTGTAGTTTGTCCCAGCAGTTCTATTGCTGTTTCTTGTCTAATGTGGGATTATAAATGAATTTAGGCCACAAATCTGTTAGCTAGTAACTTTACTGGTTCTTGGAGGACATAGCTTTGCTACTAACGTCTGAGAATTTTGGGTGTTGGAGGATATTGTTTCACCAATCCACATCCACATCCACAGACGCATGCATGCATTGAATAGGACTTTGGATTAAAACAGTAATTAGTTTGTGTCAGTTCACCTCTTTCACAGGGCAGCACAGTGCGCCTAGTGGTTAGCACTGTTGCCTCACAGCAAGAAGGTCCTGGGTTCAAATCCTGGTCGTCCCGGCTTTTCTGTGTGGAGTTTGCATGTTCTCCCCGTGTCTGCGTGGGTTCTCTCCGGGTGCTCCGGCTTCCTCCCATCATCCAACATGATTGGTGACCCTAAATTGTCCTTAGCGTGAGTGGTTGTTTGTCTATGAGTGGCCCTGCAATGGATTGGCGACCTGTCCAGGATGTACCCCGCCTTTCACCCGATGGCAGCTGGGACTGGTTCCAGACCTCTTTCACATTCTCATTTACTGTCGTTTTTATTTGTTGATGAAAACTGTGATATATTTCTTCATAGTTTTACTTTTGACTTAGCGTTTTTTCTGACTGCTACAGTGAAAGTGAAACACAGCACGTTAAAACCAGTAGAATGTAGACAGTGTAAAGTGAATCTGGTGTGTGTTCAGGTGCTAGAGCCTCAGAACGTGGATCCATCTATGGTCCAGATGACCTTTCTGGATGACGTGGTCCACTCCCTGCTGAAAGGAGAAAACATTGGCATCACTTCAAGACGAAGGTCACGTTCCAGCCAGAACAACAACTCTGCCCACGTGAGTGCAAACACACACAACAGCACATGCACACAGCTGTGCAAAGAGCTTTTTAACAGCTGACAGTGTTGCTGAAGAGGTAAAAACATTTATAATCACGTTGACATATTTGACTGTCTGTAAGCTGTTATATATATATATATATATATAAGTGCATAAAAGGAAATGGAATGTACACATTGAGTACAGTATGAAAATAGGTGGAAGTTTAAGAAAGAAAACTCTGCTCTTAAGTGTCATTTCAGCAATTTGAGATGAATACATTATTGACAGTATCAATGATACACAGGTGAATGAAAGTATATGATGACTTTGCCTATAAAATCCAGTAGCTCACACCTTTCTCCATCAAAGTGCTTTACACTGTTGCCTAGGCAATGGCCCCTTGACATGATCAAAGAACAAGAAGACAGACATAAAAACAAAACTTACTTTGAAAAGACCAACACTCCACGTTTCACATTTTTCATGTTAAGTTCTAACCTTCAAATAAGAAAAGAAATAAAAAGGATGCATTTATGCTACTTTGATAATTAATGAATCTGCAGATAATTTTCTGGATGCATTGACTGGTCTATAAAATGTCAGTATATGTCCAGCCACTTTCTGTATGCTCACCTGAATGCAGCTAATAGGTGGCCATTGTTGCTGTGTTTCTGTTGTGCATAGAATGCAGCTTGTTATGATTTGCCAACCATTAATTTGACCTCAGCATCGTCTGCTTTGCATTTGTTTATCTGTTTGTTTTAGAGACAGTGGCCTCCCCAAATCTTTAATCATGCAAAATTCCAAACCAGGAACGTCCCACCGTTGTGCAGATCTTTTCCGTTTCCGAAACTGGGCAATAACTGTGGTTATCTATGAAGTATTTCTCCTAACTGTTTGACCCATGTTCTGTTTTTCTGCTTCCTCTCTGTTTCTTAATGGAGATAGCTTTAAAGCTTTCTGTTTAGCTTTACATTCAAACTCAACACACACAGATCTACAGTACACTGGCACACCGACTCCTTTCGTGTGGTGCCATGTCAGCAGGACACTATTTAGATTTTGGTGTAATTTGTCAGAAATGCATGAGGCACATATGGGAGCTCATTGGTGATCCAGCTTGTTCTTATTTGTTATTCAGCCAGTTATTTCTGGTCCCGCAGTCATTAACAAAATCTGTCCTTGTCCCACATTTTGTTTATATTCATTTCAATTTGTTATTTTTCTCTTGATTTTTTTTTTTTTTTTTTTTTTTTTTCTTGTTGTTGACACATTAAAGATGGCGGGAGGGAGACCCGGCGGGACCACTGGCAACACTCAGGTACCCCCAACTCCCCCACCACAACCCTCAAACCCTCCAGACCAACACTTTCCACAATACACTGCAAATGATGAAAACACACAGTTTATTTAAGTGTAGAGTCCCAGCTGGCAGACATGATCTGTGCTTGATGGACAGGAAAAGTGTCTCGGTCATCACTGTCCTAGCACCTGATTTTGTCATACAGTCCCCTCCAACAGTATTGGAACGGTAAGGCAAGTTCCGTTGTTTTTGTTGTTCACTGAAGACATTTGCGTTTAAGATCAAAAGATGAGTATGAGACAAGAGTTCAGAATTTCAGCTCTCATTTCCTCACATCTAGATGTGTTAAACAACTCAGGACATATCACTGTTTGTATTAGACCACAGCATTCTTAGGTGAGCAAAAGTAATGGAACAAATAATCTTAAAGTAAATAACATTTAATATTTGGTGGCATAACCCTTGCTTACAATAACTGCCTAAAGCCTGCGACCCATCGACATCACCAAACTGTTGCATTCTTCATTTGTGATGCTATTCCAGGCTTTTACCGCTGCTTCTTTCAGTTCTTGTTTGTTTCGGGGTGTTTCTCCCTTCAGTCTCCTCTTGAGGAGGTGAAATGCAGCTCTGTTGGGTTAAGGTCAGGTGACTGACTTGTTCAGTCTAAAACCTTCCACTTTTTCCCCTGATGAAGTCCTTTGTTTTGTTGGCAGTGTGCTTTGGCTCATTGTCCTGCTGAAATGTTTCTGTCCACTTCTGAATTCATTCTGCTGCTACCATCATCAGTTACATCATCAATAAATATTAATGAGCCTGTTCCAGAAGCAGCCATGCACGCCCAAGCCATGACATTACCTCCACCATGCTTCACAGATGAGCTTGTATGCTTCGGATCATAAGCAGTTCCTTTCATTCTCCACACTTTGGCCTTTCCATCACTTTGCTAGAGATTAATCTTGGTCTCATCAGTCCATAAGATCGTGTTCCAGAACTTTTGCGGCTCATCTCTGTTCTTCTTTGCAAATTTCAATCTGGCCTTCCGATTCTTGCTGCTGATGAGTGGTTTGCGTCTTGTGGTGTGGCCTCTATATTTCTGCTCTCTGAGTCTTCTTCCAACAGTGGATTGTGATACCTTCACCCTGCACTGTGGAGGTCGTTGCTGATGTCACTTACTGATGTTTTGGGGGTTTCTTCACAGCTCTCACGATATTTCTGTCATCAACTACTGTTGTTTTCCTTGGCCTTCCTGTTGGACGTCTGTTGCTCAGTACACCAGTAGTTTCTTTCTTTTTCAGGACGTTCCAAATTGTCGTGCTTGCTATGCCCAATGTTTGTCCAATGGCTCTGCTCGATTTTCCTTCTTTTCTCAGCTTGACAGTGGCTTGCTTTTCTCCCATAGACAGCTCTCTGGTCTTCATGTGGGTTTATCCTCTTTAACAGGAAATGCAGTCTTTATAGGTTTGAACCAAGGATGAAAACTTAGACTAGTCATGCAGAGCTATTTAATGTTTGGACAGTCAACCTAAAAGGCAACATCTGGGCAACAAGAAACATCTGTCAGTCACATGTTCCAATAGTTTTGCTCACTTGAAAAATGGGTGGGCTCAGACAAAGGGTGGTATGTCCTGAGTTGTTTAACACATCTAGATGTGAATACCAGGAAATGAGAGCTGAAATTCTGAACTCTTGTCTCATACTCATCTTTTGATCTTAAACCCAAATGTCTTCAGTGAACAACAAAAACAAAGGAATTTGCCTTACCGTTCCAATACTGTTGGAGGGGGCTGTAATACCCAAAGGCACCCTGAATCTAAACTAACTGTTGAGTTCTTAAACATAGTGGAGATTTTGGGGCAATGTTATGCACTGTAACACAATTGGAAAGTGTATTTTTAAACTCAGTCTGGCAAAAATGTTCTGTATTGGTGTTAATTTGAAGTATGTATCAGCCTTGTAGGAAGCCATAAGGTTGAAGTGTCACACTCTCAATAACTGAGGTTCAGATTGGTCCTGTTCTCCCACTGCCAGTGTTATTTGCAATGTAGAATCAGTATTTTTCCTCCATTGCTACCATGGTACCTTTTGGTCATCAGAGTAGCACTCTGTTAGACATGTGTAGACTGTGCTCAGCTTTTACTTACACCTCACAGATAACGAAATAGTCTACCTGTAATCTGATGATGAATACAGAATTTTTTTGCTGGTACAGTAATTGAATAAGTGAAATTGATTTTCTCATGGTAATCTGTAAACTGTGAGGTTACAATACAGACTAATAGTAAAGCAGTATAATGTAATGAAATGTTCTCTTAATGTCTTCAGTATATTTATAACCATTAACTTATTCTCTGATGTGTATGACATCACCTGGACAAACAGACACTGATAAATGTCTGCCACAAACTGGAGATGAAATGTCTAAGTGAAATAGTCATTTAAAGAGTAACTTAACCCAGGCCAAACATCCTGTCTGCACTGCCATCTGGTGGTTGCTGCCTCTGCAGCACACTGTGCAATAGAGCATTTCACAGTGTACAAAATTCTACGTCAGTGTGGTGTGGTCACAAGTACAAAGACCACACCAGAACCCCCCCAGCTGTAATGACGGGTGTTGACAGAATTGAATCAACCCATAGAGGTCAGTTCAGCCAAACTTCTGCAGAGTGCAGAGTTGGTCTTTAACTCCAAGTCCTGAAATCCAGTCCAATTTATAATTCTGACAAACGGTGACATGTATACTGAAGTTGCAGTTTATTTTTGTGGGTTGGAGCTAACATCCAATAGACTTATCCATCTGCTTCAGTAGCCCAGTGCAAGTTTAGGCACAGTGTGAAAGGTTTACAAAGAGAGAGAGTGCTGCTCTGCCTTTCAGAAATGACTAGGATGGGACTGAACTGATGATGAACCAATGTCCATGGTATTTAACTGATACTCCCCTATAATTTCCATCTGGACATTAGCCAAAGTCACAGTTTGTGTCATTTAGGAGTTCACCCTACAAGGTGGCTTACAACACATGATTGGCATTTCCCAGACAGAATCAGGAACATGGGCCAGCAGTGAACCAGAGGGGCACGTCGACCCTCTAACAGCAGGGGGCTGACAACGTCCCATAAGAACTCTGCAGACATTGTCCACTAGTTGTAGTCAGAGACAGACATGCCTTGCATTACTGACACATCATTCTTCGAATTTATCAGCAACATAACAACTCACCACCTAATACCAACCTTTTTTCTTGACCTATGTGTCTTGCATCTGATGCATGAATGCGATTTCAGGCCCAACTCTGAGAATGAGGCATGGAAACCATACTTCACCAGGTTTCCTTAAAGAAGTAATTATAAATGCCAAGCTGATTTGTCTCTGAGTAAAGTGACTCAGGCAGGGGTTTCTGACTTTTACAAATTACAATTTGTACAATTATCAGCATCAGTCAGTCCCTTCTCTCTTTAAATAAATCTACCTGTACAAAGCAGAGACCATGTTGATTTCACAGCTAGAGAGATTGTGGCTTCTTTTGCTTCTCATGCTGTGGTACTTACACAGCTACTCTTATAACCCATGCATTTACCTCACTCAGCCCTAAGCCACTCATGAGGCAATAGCAGTGCATGGAAGTTGGTGTTTCTTGAAAATACAGAGTAGACGTTTTAGAAGTTAGTTCCCTCCAAATCATCTCATCGATACAAAGACATTTTCTTGGTCTTACATGAATTACTGTTTGTTCAAGCTTCAGAAGTCCAACTAACTACTGCATGGACTTAGAAAGCAAAAATATTACAGCGACTGGAAAATATCAATACAAACAAAAAGGGTGTGATTCCCAGTGGTGCCACCCTCACTAATAATGTGTACATCATGTTACTTTGAGACATTTTGTTAAAAAAATAAATAAATAAAATACAAAAACGGGAGGAAAAACCACCAACTGGAAGTTCACTTTTCTTGGAAAAAGTCTACTTGATGATCTAAATAAATGCATTCCACCTACATGTTTTCTGCAGCACAATTGAAAAGCAAAAAAGCAACAGTCTCTGGTACTATTTCACATACAGTATAACATGTCATAAGAACTATTTTAAACTAAACACATTTTAATCTTACAATTAGAAATGTCTTGTCGTGTGTCTGCCCGCTGTATTGGAACTTAAACATTGACTGAAAGATTACATCTCTGACTCTTGTTAACTTGAGGACAATTTATTAAAAACCTGAAGGCATCATATTTAATATTTGGTGTAAAACTGTTAGATGTCAGCAGACACATCCTCCCTGTTGATGCTCTGTCATGCATGTACTGGAGCCAGCTTTACTTCTGACTTGTTGTTCTGACTCTGGTCTTCAGCAGTGAAACACATGATCACTTGGCTTGAGGTCACGTGACTGACTTGGATAGTCAATAACAAAAAAACGTCTTGGTTGCTCTTTCTTTAGTCTAAAATTTAAAGACTGTGTTTAGCATTTGCACACATTCAAACAACCTTAAAGCTGAAAGTCAGCACTTTAATCTTAGCCATGCTTCCATCTCTAATCCAATGTGCAAGAGTAGAGTCAAAACAGTGAAAACATTGCCATTCGTATATCTGACCCATGAATACTAGAAACCCTTCACAACATACACTCCAGTTTACACCCAGCTTAATCTTATACATATCTTATACAATCTAATACAACGGCTGTGCAAGAAATCTTACCTTTTATTATAAGCTCTAATGTTCTTTTTTGTTTTTTTACAGAGCTGTTGATTTAGCTTTATGGTCATTTTGGAGTCATGGACTTTCAGCTTGTGCTGTTATTTAATTGTATTCATTTCATTATTTGTTTGTTATACTAAGACGTGTTTCTCATTTTTAGTCTAAACTGAGAGATCTTACATGTTTTGTTAAATATTTTGGATAATTTTGAAGTATGCTCTATGTTTAGCTCACCCTATACTTACCTGGGCTGGTGGTAGGTTCCAGTCAGGTGAGGCTGAGAAGGTAAAATGAGGAGGTGGCAGCTTGCTCTGAGACTTCAGCTTTCATTAGTGTTCTTGCTTCATGACATATAAGGATGTTCAGCCACTTGCATCCCTACATGAGCATACAGTTGAATCAACACTCCTTTAAACTGTCTCAATGAAAACCGAACAGTAGAGCTGTTGGATTAGACTGCATCAGTTTTAGATAAACTGATACCTGGGTGTAGTTTAACAATAAAAAACAGTACAACTGTAAGATTCACATAGATATCAGTTATTGCAGAGCTGTCATATTGGATTGTTTTCAACTGTGAAGGTGTACTTAATAAACTGACAACTGAGCGTAAACATTCATAGTAATGTTTGTATTTACAGGTCTGTGTGTTTCTGTGCTTGAGCTAACGTATAACTTTATTTATTCTTACAGAGTCATTACACACGAGCCCAAGCCAACAGCCCCCGCCCCATCATGACTTCATTGGGCCCTAACCCAAAAGGTTCCCAGGGGATGCTGACCTCCCAGCAGCAGAGCCAATCACAGCAAAGCCAGCAACCAGCCAGCCAATCACACAACTCGCCCGGCGGCAGTGGGCGGGAACAGAGAGAGCAGCGCAACTCTCGCTCTTCCAGGAGGAAAGGATCAGATAGCAGTGTTCCAGAGGAGGATAAGGACAGGAGAGAAGAGACCACAGGGAGAGGTGAGGACGGTCCCCATCAAACACTCCTGTAAAGATTATAGAAACACTTGTGATAGAGGGATGTTTCTTTGACCTCAGAAATAAGCTTTGGCCGGGTAGACACCAACTTGCAACGAGAACCAGAAAGTTTCATTTTGGGCTTTAGAGTGAAAGTAAAGGTCGGCACCGGCTAAAAGCTGAATCCTTCTACCTGAATGTTTTGCTCATGACTGATCAAAAAAGAATGAGGAGAGACAAAAGATTTGTTTTGTTTTGTTGAAGTTTGCAGTTGTTTTTGGGCATTCAAAGATGTCCACAGAGCCAATCAACAATAGACAAGCAGTCTTCATTTGGTGTTGCTTCTGTCTTTTTTTTGTTCTCTTTTTTTTGTTGAGTGTTTTCATCAGTGCTGCATTACATTGCACTTTGCTAAATGTCAGTTGTGAAATTCTCGATAGTTATTATTACTGTACACATTTTAATTACCATAATATGTTTAATACCATGAACCGCGCTGTTATAATCTCAGGGCAAACACTGTCCAGCGTCTCCCAGAAGCAGACGCGCATGCGCAGAATGCAACGTGGGTTTGTTTGGGTCGATGACAACCTAACAACACGGCGGAAGACGGCGCTGCTGGAGATTATTCAGTATTGCTAACAGCGTGTAAACTGAAGCTCTCAGTGTTGCTGCTCTGCTACACGTTGTTCTGCTGCTGTGTGCGTCGTGTGTCGGCAGAGTCTATTGGTCCACTGCACATGACAACACGTTACGCAGTTCAGTCAACCAACCAGCAGATCTAGAAACGCTAAAGACTGCTCTGTATTTATCAGTCAGTTTTGGGGCTCATTGCAGTTTCTGTCACTGTCTTCTAAAGACTTATTTGTTTTCATGTCATTGTCCACAGGGTCATTGTATTACCTATATAATACAGTCATGGCCAAAAGTGAAATTTTTCCAGAAAATCAAGTATTTCTCACAGAAAAGTATTGCATTAATACATGTTTTACTATACACGTTTATTCCCCTTGTGTGTATTAGAACAAAACAAAAAAAAGAAGAAAAAAAAGCTAATTGGACATAATTGCACACAAAACCCTAAAAATGGGCTGGACAAAATTATTGGCACCCTTTCAAAATTGTGGACAAATAAGATTGTTTCAAGCATGTGATGCTCCTTTAAACTCACCTGGGGCAAGTAACAGGTGTGGAGTTCCAAAGACATTCAAGCTGTCCTGCAGGCTCAGGGTGCATCAGTGTCAGCCCGAACTATCCGTCGACATTTGAATGAAATGAAACGCTATGGCAGGAGACCCAGAGGAGGACCCCACTGCTGACACAGAGACATAAAAAAGCAAGACTACAGTTTGCCAAAATGTACTTGAGTAAGCCAAAATCCTTCTGGGAAAACGTCTTGTGGACAGATGAGACCAAGATAGAGCTTTTTGGTAAAGCACATCATTATACTGTTTACCGAAAACGGAATGAGGCCTACAAAGAAAAGTACCTACAGTACCTACAGTCAAATATGGTGAAGGTTCAAAGATGTTTTGGGGTTGTGTTGCTGCCTCTGGCACTGGGTGCGTTGACTGTGTGCAAGGCATCATGAAATCTGAGGATTACCAAAGGATTTTGGGTCGCAATGCATATGAATAAATGTAATGAGCTACAGAAACTGAAATTGATGCCATGCCTTCCAGATATGAGACATTACATTTAAATTTATTCATTTAGCTGACACTTTTATCCAAAGCGACATACAATTGCCAATAATGTCAGAGGTTGCACACCTCTGGAGCAACTAGGGGTTAAGTCTCTTGCTCGGGGACACATTGGTGGACGTGTCACAGTGAGGAATCAAACCTGGGTCTCTCACACCAAAGGCATGTATCTTATTCAATGCTCCATCTCCACCCCAGTAGTGCTTTTGGTTTTCCGATTCACTCTTTCAAACACAAACATTACATTGGTCTTAGTCAGTAATAAAAGGTACAATCAACAGCATTCAAGTCAAGATTGAGGTGGGGAAGATGGATGGCAGAGAGGGTATTCAGACCTGTGTTTGAGTGTCCAAAAATTATGTTTCTTCTTTTCATTTGTCCAGACTCCAAGTCAAAGGCAAAGCAGGCGGTGAACAAACGCAGGAAAGGCGAGGAAGATGAGAAGAAGGCAGGTTTAAAGAGGCTGAAGACTGACATGACCTCTGATCTGTCGGAGAGCAGCGACTCAGAAAACCCACACAACAAGAGGACCGCCCACTCCTCATGCTCCTCCTCCTCCTCATCGTCTTCGTCGTCGTCGTCCTCCTCCTCTTCCTCCTCCTCAGAGCCCAACTCTGAGAATGAGCTAAAGACTCGCAGCAGTGATGTGAAACCAAGCGGTGTTTCCAAAAAAGAGGAAGATGAGAAGCCTCTGATGCATGGCACCAAACTGAACGATTCCTCTTCTCTCATTAGTCGCCTGTCCCCGTGGGTGGAGCTTCAAGCAGAGGACAGCAAGAAGGGTCTGGTTAAGGAAACAAGCAAAATGATAACAAAGGAGGAGGAGGAATTGGTCGCTGTAACACAGATCACACAGTCTCCACGGCAACAGACGCCTCTGAGTTCTGACCCCATCCAGGGCGGCATTATGGAGAGCAGCAAGAACACTATGAAAGGTACAGTCAACTGATACATGGCAGCTGTCCTTTTATGATAATTATCAGTAAGTTTAGTATTCTTATGCGATGAATCTTTTTTGTTTTAGTGTCATCTCGGTCCCAGACGCCGTCTTTATCCCACCTCCACGGTGGCAGTGTGATTGACATCACAGATGATGCCCAGGCGACGGTGCACCAGGAGAGTTCAGAGGCAGTGTCTGCGCTGCTCGCCTCCCAGAAGGCCGAGTCCACGTCCCTCTCACCTTACCTCCCACTCAACCCCTCTCCCGTCTCCTCGCCTCCCGTCCCGCCATCTCCTTCTCCATCAGAAGGAGGCCGCAGAACAGATATTGAGCCTCCCATGCAGCAGCAGGTTATTATGGGAGGTGGCATGACAGCAGCCAGGAGCTTAGGCAACAAGATAGAGTTTGCTCCCTCTGAAGTCATCAGGTGAGAACACAGGGCTTCAAATTGTGTTTGTTGAAATGTGTGTCGCTTCTCAGATGTCCGGATGAGATGACTAGGTGTCAGATGTAGTGTAATCTCTGTAAGTCAGTCCCATCCAATATCCTTTAATAAGATGCAGTATGTTAGATCAGGTTATACAGGAAATCATAGAATGACTTTACATCCACTATAATAACCTGTTTACTGTCAATCTGTGTATACATGCAGCAGATTCCTCCTCTTGCCCTGATCTCATTTTGGAACCATGACTTGCTTTTTTAATTGTTGTAGTGATGCAATACACCACTTCCTGATTTTTGTGTGTCTGAGTGCTGACAAGACAGTGACAGGACACTCTGTAGTGAGAGTGTAGTTCTCTCGTCAAATGTTCGGTGGTGGAAACTGACTAATTCACACTTCTAGACATTCTTTCTCTGTCTGGAGTCTTTGTCCTGCACAGGATCACATGTGAAGAGCAAACAAAAAACCTGTTTACATGGCTAACAAATCAAAAGAAAGCTTTTGTGGGGGACATCAGGTTTCTCTAACCTCATAAAGCCATTTTGGAAACCAGGTGTCTTGTTTACATGACATTTTAGGAGTCACCTTACTGGAGAACTGAGTCAGTCATTTAAGTTCATGTCAACAAACCTGAGTGCCCCACTGTCTATTTTAGACAATAAGCTGAATTAAATTTTTATAGCCCCAAAAGTCCTTAAAAAGTGGGCGCAATACAATGAGTATTACAGCAGAAATGAGAGAACATGAAAGTAAAATTAGTCAAATATAAAAACAAAGGTGAACTTATAACTGACATTATGGTCTGAAAGATTAGGAATTTAAGTCAAATTACAAAAGCTTTTGAATAAAAGCACACTTTAAGTGGAAATACTTTTTTTTTTTTTTTTAATTGAATTTGGAAGAATAGCAAAAGCCTCGTCCTTGTGAGCCTTTACCTGGGATAGCAACCAGTGAAAAAAATGTTTGCCTTAAAATTGAGATCATGAATATAATAGACTACAGTCTAGACCTGCTCAGTCTGAAAAGTGTTAAAGCCCAGCAGGTTGCCGTCTAAGCTGCTTGGATCATGCATACAAATGTAAATGTTTGAACTTTTGTCAATATGGACATGCTTCAGATCCTTAGATTATTTACAATTTAATCGTTCTGTTAATCTTTCAGAAGCAATGAGCAGCACCAAAGTATAATTCATTAAGATTTACTGGTTTGTTAAACAAGAGAGATAAAAAAAAGTTGTGACCTTACCTTTGAAGCATAAAGAATATGTGTCCATCCCTCCATTATTCATAAAAACTGAATCCAATTTGAAATAACTACGGTAACTTTCAGCTTTCATCCTTTCTAAAGTAGGTGCTCTCTCTCTCGCTCTCTCCCCCCCCTGATTTGATACAAGTAATTATCATACTGAATAAATAATTTTGATAGTAGCCTTTTTCCCATATTTACTGAGCAAGAGTTTTGTGGGAAAGGAATTAAAGGCCTGTCCCAGATATAGGTAGGCTGAGTTCAGTCCTTCAGTGCCTGAAGCAAAAAACAGCCTCGGCTGTTAAGTGAAGTTTTAAGTAGATGACAGATGAATAGAAAACAGATCATAAAATATTATTTTCTCTGCTTTTTTTCAGGCCTGTCACATCTATAACTGAAAATATGGTGCTTGTGGAGAAAGAGAAAACGGTCCTTCCTCATCATCTTCTTCTTCATCATCATCAGCAGCAGCAGCAGCATCATCAGCAGCTGCAGCAGCAGCAACACTACACATCTATCCACCCCAGCATTAAGAGTCTGTCTGAGGAGACAAGAAAACACTCACAGCAACAACCGCCCCCCAACAAGATGAACACAGTCCTCCCCCCGGACTTAGCCAAATCCAAAATGAGCCCCAACCCAGCTCAGGTCGACTCCCTGAAACAGAAACTTCAGCACCCCAACAACTCTCAATGCCATCCCTACCCCAACACAAACCCAAGTGACTTTCTCAAGGCTAAGCCCCACCCAGCCCTGCTGGACATCTCCAAACCTAAACCCAACACCTCCCCAGAGGTCTCTAAACATAAAATACAGAGGTACTCTGATACCTCCCCACCTCCGACAGGCCGTTTGTCCGCTAAAGTAGAAATAGCAGAACCTCCAAGGTCTGGTTTCAAGCCGGTGCTAGCGCGGTCAGAGTCGGGAGGAATTAGTACGAGCAGCAGCAGCAGTACCAAGAGCCCTCTGATCATCGATAAGAACGAGACCTTCACTGTTTACAGGGACCCAGCACTGGTCCGCTCAGATGCAGAGAACTCTGCCTCTGCCACCGTCTCCTCCAACCATGTGGCAGCCTATCTTCATCCCCACCTGCACACCCTCCACTCCCCCTCCCCCTCACTCCCCCTGCCTCACCCCCGCTTCACATCCCCACGGCGCTTCCCACCTCCTCGCTCCTCCTCACACCTCTGCTCTACCCCACCCGCACCTTTTACCCCCCCGGGGTGCTCTCTGCCATGCCTCCTCCTGCAGCATCTCTTCTCGGGGGACACCCTCGGCTCGACTCCCCTGGTGGGTTGGGCCACCTCGCCCTGCCTCATCCGGCAGCCACACACCAGCAGCAGTTCCTACAGGTCAGATACAAACACACTATAAAGCCACACTATCAAAGACTGTAATATCCAGCTCTGTGGGTTGAGGTGGGTGGGGGCAAATGGGGTGGAAGAGGAGTAATGTTGCCTCCGCTCCTGATTATATATATATATATATTTAAAAGAAAAATTTACGTGTTCTGTTTTCAGGGTCAGGGCCCCCCTCCACCTCCTCTACTAGCCCAGGCTCACAGTGGAGCAGCAGGGCTGGGCCTATACCCCATCCTCTGGCAGTACCCCAACGGAACACCAACCTCCTATACCCCAGGGCTCAACCTGCCCCCCACAGCTAAGTGGGTCCACCCAGAAAATCCTGTCACCGTGAATTCCGAGGCTTCTCTCAGGAGGGTAGGTGTATGCAAATTGGTCTGTATTTGTGTGTGTTTTGGTGGACTTTTGCATGCACATGTGATTGTGTCTTTTTGTTTGACTGTTTGTCTTTTAACAAGGAGAACAGTGAAGGCCGGATGGAGAAAAGAGATTTTGGCAGGCAAAGAAGCAGAGTAGGAGAAGAACCCTTGAGACCAAATCAGATGTAGCTGTGCTTGTAATGGACAAGTCCGTTTTTAAAGGAATTACTGTAATGTTCTTTCAATTAATTTTGACGTGAAAGCTCTATGTGATGACTTTTCATAATAAATTTTTTTTTTTTAAATTAAACTTTTTATCAGTGTTGTAGTTGACTCCTACAGGATGTAACAAAACATTTGGCTTAACCTAAACAAACCTAGTATAGTACTGCTATAATACTGCTACTATAGTTCCTGCACAGGAAATGACAGGCTGTATGGATTACCATTATGAAAAGTGCAACAGATTCCAGTCCCAAATTCTGACCTTTTGATATGGGAGCATCTACTGTGCACAGTTATGTTATCGTACAGAGCTTATATGTGCATAGTCAGCATTTACCAGCGCAAACAAAAGCTTTTAGCTGGAGCTTAGTTGATGATGACATTACATGAGGGGGGTGTGCAGTCTATTCCCCATTCCTCGGCCTCTGGTTTTCTCAGATGCGCTCAGTCCTGATATGTTTATATGCATGTGGGTGATGTTCACCCATCCTGCTAGGTTGGGTGTGATGGAGAGAGTTCTGACTTTTATACCTGTTTCATATTTTAAAAACAGGCATTGAGCAACCAGACTGGTACTGGGTTAGATCCAAAGGTTTCGGTCTCTAAAAGTTGGTTGGATGTCGGCCTTCACAGGTTCTGGGCAGCTCGTGGTTCCGCTAATTCTCGGGGTTGGAGTGTCTGAAACCAAATTTTATTCCACCCATCCTATTGTTTCTTAATTATTTTCTTTGTTCCAATTTCTTTCCTAAAGAATTAATAATGTTTCTTACATGTCTAATGCTTCCATCTTTAAAATGTTTAATAATCAATATTATCCACTTTGCAAAAAATAAACAGACTGTTAATCTAGGTTTAAGTGGCAACCATGTACAGTATCTGTTATTACAACAATAAACATACATATTTAGCATATATGTCAATATATATGCATATGTGTGTGTACAGCATCCAAAATTAACAGCCACCAAGCGCCAAATGTGGTTAAATTTTGGGTTTAGTGGAATAATAAATGGAGTCACCGACCAGGTGGCTGGGGAATAATGTTGAATTCAGTTTCAATTAAATTTTATTTATATAGTACAAGTAACAAAAGTTATCTCTATTTTTATATAGAGCAGATCTAGATCATACTCTTTGTAAAACTATTAACAGAGACCCAACAATTCCCACCATGAGTAAGCACTTGGTGACACAGGCGAGGAAAAACTCTCTTTTAGCAGGTAGAAACCTTGAATAGAACCATGACTTGGTTGGTGACACTCTGCCTCGACCAGTTACAAAAACAGTTAAGGTGGTAGTGGTATAGACAATAAAAAATTGTGATGATGATAATAATCAAAGGACTAATAATAATTGTAGCGGTGCGTGTCAAAGACAGTAATTACAGATCAAGACCCCACAGCTCAACGAGAAAGCACAAAACTACAGGAGAGTGAAGAAGTCGATAGATATGGTTGCATAAAGATTGGAAAAGGAGAGGAGGAGACAGGAGCTTAGAACATCATAAGAATTCCTCTGGCAGTCTAGGCCTATAGCATCATAACTAAGGGATGGTTCAGGGCTCAAGGGCGTAAATTACATGTCTGACTTTGTTGAACAATATTGTCATACAGTTTGACGCTAATAGTTGCCCATTTTTTGCTGTATCTAACCGGAAAACCATAATGCTCACATATCGTGGATCTAAATGTCAAGGGAGCAGCTCTGGTTTCTCATATGTGTTTGCCTTTGGGATGGCTAAAAGAGCTTGACTAACCTGGCTAACAAAGCTAAACAAATATAAACATGTGTATCAGAAAATGTACCCTTTTCCACTGAAGTCACTGTGACTTCTCTCTTTGTGAGTAATTTATGGTGACATACTTTACCTTGACCATGCGTGTGTTTGCAAATTTAAACCAAAATTTGTGTCTGTGGATTTTACTTTTTGGTTTATTACTTTATTGATTCTGTATCTATGTGTGTGTTTTATGTGCAGAACACACCAAGTCCATGGCTTCATCAGGCTGCTGGTAGTGCTGGTGATGGCCTCGGTTTGCTGAGCCACGTTCCTGTTCGGCCAGCCAGTGCAGATGCCCACCGCCCCCCTGTCAAGATCAACACACACACAAGCCCTCCACTTTCAAAGGCCAGCACGGACATTCGTAAGGAGTGAGTAGAAAGATCAGTAACATGCAAAGTTCTCCAAGATGCTGGATTAGCTAGACTTATTCAGAAAGCCCACACAGAGCAGCAAGAGAGCTATGTTATCCCTGAGACACCGGCAATGCAATGTCAGTTAAGCCTAGTTCACACTACACTACACTACAGCTCGGCAACTGTCAGTCTGTGATCAGGGGTAAATCAGTGATCGCTCAGTGGTTGCCAGTCGTTACAGGTGCTGGTCATATAATTAGAATATCAACAAAAAGTTGATTTATTTCAGTAATTCCATTCAAAAAGTGAAACTTGTATAATGTATAAATTCATTCCACACAGACTGATATATTTCAAGTGTTCATTCCTTTTAATTTTGATGATTATAACTGACAACTAATGAAAACCCCAAAATCAGTATCTCAGAAAATTAGAATATTGTGAAAAGGTTCAATATTGAAGACACCTGGTGCCACACTCTAATCATCTAATTAACTGGAAACACCTGCAAAGGCCTTTAAATGGTCTCTCAGTCTAGTTTTGTAGGTTATACAATCTTGGGGAAGACTGCTGACTTGACAGCTGTCCAAAAGACATTGACATCATTGACATCTTGCACAAGGAGGGCAAGACACAAAAGGTCATTGCTAAAGAGGCTGGCTGTTCACAGAGCTCTGTGTCCAAGCACATTAATAGAGGCAAAGGGAGGGAAAAGATATGGTAGAAAAAAGTGTACAAGCAATAGGAATAACCGCACCCTGAAGAGGATTGTGAAACAAAACCCATTCAAAAATGTGGGGGAGATTCACAAAGAGTGGACTGCAGCTGGAGTCAGTGCTTCAAGAACCACCACGCACAGACGTATGCAAGACATGGGTTTCAGCTGTCGCATTCCTTGTGTCAAGCCACTCTTGAACAAGACACAGCGTCAGAAGCGTCTCGTCTGGGCTAAAGACAAAAAGGACTGGACTGCTGCTGAGAGGTCCAAAGTTATGTTTTCTGATGAAAGTAAATTTTGCATTTCCTTTGGAAATCAAGGTCCCAGAGTCTGGAGGAAGAGAGGAGAGGCACAGAATCCACGTTGCTTGAAGTCCAGTGTAAAGTTTCCACAGTCAGTGATGGTTTGGGGTGCCATGTCATCTGCTGGTGTTGGTCCACTGTGTTTTCTGAGGTCCAAGGTCAACGCAGCCGTCTACCAGGAAGTTTTAGAGCACTTCATGCTTCCTGCTGCTGACCAACTTTATGGAGATGCAGATTTCATTTTCCAACAGGACTTGGCACCTGCACACAGTGCCAAAGCTACCAGTACCTGGTTTAAGGACCATGGTATCCCTGTTCTTAATTGGCCAGCAAACTGGCCTGACCTTAACCCTAGAGAAAATCTATGGGGTATTGTGAAGAGGAAGATGCGATACGCCAGACCCAACAATGCAGAAGAGCTGAAGGCCACTATCAGAGCAACCTGGGCTCTCATAAGACCTGAGCATCGACTCCATGCCACGCCGCATTGCTGCAGTAATTCAGGCAAAAGGAGCCCCAACTAAGTATTGAGTGCTGGACATGCTCATACTTTTCATGTTCATACTTTTCAGTTGGCCAACATTTCTAAAAATCCTTTTTTTTGTATTGGTCTTAAGTATTATTGGAGATATATATATGGAGATACTGAATTTGGGATTTTCATTAGTTTCATTAGTCAGTTTTAATCATCACAATTACATGAAATAAACATTTGAAATATATCAGTCAGTGTGTAATGAATGAATATAATATCCAAGTTTCACTTTTTGAATGGAATTACTGAAATAAATCAACTTTTTGATGATATTCTAATTATATGATCAGCACCTGTATGTGTGAACTATTAAACAACGCAAACGGCTCCCTGATGCATCACTGACACATCGCCGATGACAACCAGATATCTAGAATGCCAAATATCTGGAGGAGTCGGCCGACTCAACATCAACTTCCAGCCAATGAGAGCAGGCAGTTACTGTTTCATTGCAAACCACTTTTTACTTACCTCCAGCTCTCTCTGTAGCTCAGACGATCCCTGCTACCTGTGTGTGCTAATCCATTCTTTAACCCCTATTCTTTGTCTTTATAATTGGTATCTTTATAATAACAAACAACAGCTGTTTTATGTGTAGTGTTGCATCCTTTCCCAATTCACATTTCACGTGTGTTTTCTTAACAAAACGTGGTTTGGAGATCTGCCGTTGTCAGCTCGTGTAGTGTGACCCCCTGTCTACTATCAGTCACGTAGTGTGAACGCCACGACTTCAAGACTCCCGTCAAAAGACGGCAAGTTGTGTAGTCTGAACAGCAGGGCGATCAGCCAATGCTGAAAGTCGTGTAGTCTGCGTGAGCCTTCAGATGAAGTGAAGTGTCACTAATCCAATATTAAAGCAGTTCAGACAGCATACTGTTTATTCAGCAACTTACGCTCTCCTTATGTAACCACCAGCCATTATTTAGACACCACCAAGTACCAATACAGGCAAACACACAGTATCACAGAGGAAACATCACCCATCACTCCTTTCTCTCATTAGCCTAGTTATGTCATGTTCATTCATATCTGCTGAACAGGCAGTAATACCATGATACCCATCAGAATCAGAAGGAGCTTTATTGCCAAGTAGTATTTTACACATACAAGGAATTTGCTGTGGTGATAAGGTGCTACACTTAGACAAACATATAGTCAACATAAATAAATGTAGAAATATATAAATATGGAATGGATGGCCTAAACCTGTCTGTCACCTGTGAAGTGTGAAGTGAAGTTTGGCTTTCATACATCCACAATAATCACTCTCATACTTGGCTGCACAACATACTTGTGTTTTTCAGTTATTTTCTTTGTTTGTTTATTTGCTGAGTAATGTATGTATTTACTCTATATTATTGCAGTGGGCTGCCTAAATGAACGGTTCTCTTTCATTCTTCCTGACTACCAGAGGCAGTGCTTAGCGCTGGATGTCTTGCGGTTCATATTAATAAAGTCACATATGACTTCGCCTATGTAAGCCCACGTCATTATGAAGATGTCCGTTGTATTTTCCTGCAGGTAATAGGAGAATACTGGTTGAAACTAAAAGCTTAAAAAAGAAGATAGCCTATGACTCTTAACAAGTAGCCCTGTAACCGCATGGTTGGAGCTACAGTTTTGTACTCGCAAAGGCTGCAACTAGACAACCGCCGCTCCACTCCTAGCTTTCAGCACAGTGTTTTTGCTGGTACAGCATATAGGACCACATGGTCTTGTAAAGGCTGAGTCAAACCAGCTCCTCGACCAATAAAAGAACACTTCGTCACGTCAGTCAAAGTGCTGGGGGAGTACCTGCTCTGAAGTTGGTAAGAAGATTCTGTAGTGACGTCTTTCATGATATTGTGGGCTTATATAGGCCCAGGTTACATGTGACTTTGTTAATATGAAATACTTTGTGCTCAAGAGATGGGTAACTTTCAGTGTTAAGCACTGCCTCTGACGATCATCCAGAATTAATTTAATCGTATTTACATACACAACTCTCATTTAACTCTAAAAATGATTTTAGATGTTTTAGAGAATTATTCCGGATTAGGTTTTTGTGGGCGTTTTTTAAATTTTCAATTTGTTTCATTCATTAATAGAATAAAATGTTTTTTAGACGGGGGGGAAGAACAGCATGAATAAGCAAATGTTTGACTTGTCTGTGTGCAGAGATGTAGATAAGAAAGGCTTTGTGGACCCGATCAGGACGCTGACGTTGGCCCAGCTGAAACAGGAGCAGACAGACAGGAGTCGAACCCCCACAGGAAAAGATGTCCTCCTACACCACCTCTACCTAGACCCCCACAGCAAGGCTCGCCTGGCAAATACACAGGTGATTGTCGTTATTAGTAGTAGTAGTTAACCCTAACTCCCAACGCTCCTAACCCCATTCTTATAGATAATAGGTGAATTTGTAAAAAAAATAAAAAAATAAATAAAGTGGATAAATCCAACCACACATATGAACTAAATACTATTAACAATGTATGTGTGTGTGTGTGTGTGTGTGTGTATACACATGCATCAACTTAACTGCTGTATTTTTGTTAATATGGCAATATTGTTTCTATCTGTATGGTGAGGTGTGTTTAAAAATGGCTCATATATTACCAAACTTCTTTACTTTAAGAAATGTTAATCAGCCTCTCCTAGGTTACGATGATCTCTCCCTTTAAACTGTAGGTGGACACCACTAACTTGTTGACATTCAATATTTTGTCTGAAAATTAGAAATCCAGCCCTAACAGTGTGTGCATTTTCTTTCCCAGGATGCAGTTCAGGCAGCAGACCGAGCCAGTAAATATAAAGAGGAGAATCGTCAAATCCTGAAAGAGAGTATAGAGGTCGCTCCCTTCACTGCTAAGATCCAGCGCTCCAGTGACCCCGGCATGGACAGGGACAGAGAGAGGAGCAGAGATTCAGCCTTCCCCGTCCGCATACCAGCTCTTGCCTCCCCAAGCCCCAAGGCCAGCCACGCCCATCCCCATGTCATCCAGTCAGAAAAGAGCAACTACTTCACTACGCTGTCCAACAGTGTGGTGAATGAGCCTCCAAGACTTTACCCCTCCAAGGAGCTCAACTCTTACTATGAAAAGGTGTCCAGCGGAGCTCCAGGGGTTGTGGCCAGTGTTGGGGCCGTGGTGTCAAGTCAGGGAGCTCTGTCCCTGGGCAGCTACATCTCTAAAGCCTCCCTCTCCAAGCCTCCTCCCCTCATTAAGCACCAACCAGAAGGAGGAGAGGGTTTAGCAGGGAAAATCACGGAGCAGCTCAGCCAGCAGGTGACACTAGTCCAACAGCAACATCAGCACCACACCGGTATAGACAGGATAGAACGTCGCAGCCCTGCCATTTCTTCTTCCTCCTCCTCCACATCCTCCTCTTTCTCCTCAGCCCCCAACCACCATCATCACCACCACCACCACCACCACCACCAACAGCAGCAGCAGCAGCAACACCAGCTCAGGGTAATGCCATCTCTACACCGAGCGCCTGTCTTCCATCCGCCCACACAGCACGCACTGGAGCGTAAAGAGGCTGCAGAGCGAGAGAGGGAGCGGGAGAAGGAAAGAGAACGAGAGAGGGAGAGAGCAGGTTATGGTGGACGTCTGTCTCCGCCAACCCTCACACCCATCCAGCCAGTTAGCTTAGCGGCAGCGGGTAACAAAACATCAGCGGAGCAGCAGAAGCCCCCCACTCTGCTGCCGGAGCTCAGGGACGTCAAAGGTCATGGAAATGCTGCCGCTGTCAACTGTGTGCCCTCAGCCATCAGTGCGGAGATTATGACTTCACCTACAGACGTGTGGCGAGGTGGAGAGATGATTCAGGAAAGAGGAGGCTTATTCTCGGGAGAGAAAGGACTATCAAGGGGCAAGCCCCAAGCTGCAATGGCATCAGTCATTGTGCGTCCGTCGACATCTATTAAGTATGACAGTTCTGTTGGTGCTAACAAATCTGGTGCTTTGATCCATAAGGAGCTCCCCCAGGGGAGACTCTATCCATCCAAGCTTCAGGGGGAATGTCCTAGACTAGGGGAGTGTGTTAGAGAACCTGGAGCAGGAAGGATTATCCAGCACAACTCCAACCTGGACGACATGTCTGTCCAGTATAAAAAGACTTCTATGCGTGACATGCAGGGAACTATGGGAGCCAGTACCACAAACTCTGTGTGCAGGACTGCCGTTTCAGCTGCATCAGCTTTTGGCATACAGATTAAAAGTCCGACATACTTCCCAGAGCTGGGCTACTCAGTCTCAGCTCGGGGAGAGATTTCAGCCCATAACACTGGCATTGGTGGCTGGGCACTGAGCCACTCAGGTTCAGGAGAGCACCAGGAGGAGTTAGGCTCACGTACCACATCTCCAGCGGGGTCTCTGCCTCCCCCTAGTCCAGCAGGGACACCCCAGCCCTGTCAAAGCCTCACCCCAACACCCAGCTCAATTTCTGGTTCAAGTCAACCTTACTCCTCCTCCTTTGTCCACCTTAAGAAGCACAAAGCTGCCTTGGCTGCAGCCCAATCCAGAAGCAACTTCTCCACTACTCCCACATCCACCACAACTGGAAACTTCTCCCTAACTGTGGATTCAGGGGAGAAAATTCCCATTCACAACTCGCCTCCTCCACCCTCTTCCAGCCAAGCCTCATCATCCTCCATCGACAGCAGTAGCAGCAGCTCGGCAAGCGGGAGCACAACACCAGGCAAGTCTAGTCCCCTGCCTAATGGCCATACCTCTGGATCAGCCTCAACAAGCAGCGGGCAGCCCAGTAACTACCACAAGCTGAAGAAAGCCTGGTTAACCCGACACTCAGAGGAGGACAGGAACACAACTGCTACTACAAGCGCCACCAGTGCTAAACCAGAGAAACAGCTCAGCACCACCACCAGCACAAGTAACACCACAGCCATGTCTGATATGATCAAACCCTGTACCGTCAATCTCAGCGCCTCCACCTCCAGTGAGGTGGACATGAGCAAAGACGGTGGAAGCAAAGTCGAGAGAGAGAGGCAGCTGGAGGAGAAGGTGGGAGGAGCAGCAGGAGGAGGGGAGGAGAGGAAAGCAGCTCCTTTATCAAGGCGAGGTAACAAACGGTCATACGAGTCCGGTTCAGAGAGTGGGGGAGATGACTCTGACAACAGTGAAAGCAAAATGGAGGGCCGAGCCAAGCGTCAGCCTAAACCAACCTACAAGAAGAAACAGAATGATATGGCCAAGAAGAAAGGAGACAATGAAAAGGATGAAGATGATATGAAGCCCAATGGCATCTTCAGATCAGCCAGAGAGAAGACTAAACTCAAGCTGGCCAGCAGCAGTAAGTCTTATTGAAGACGTTTACTTTAGCACTGACAGTCTTTTCTAAATGGTTTCCCAGCCAACGAGATTGAACACGAGTGGCAGTTAAAAGATAACGCTGGCAATATTCTGTACTTTTTAAAATTTATTTTTTTATTTTTTATTTAGATTTAAATGTTACAAAACACATTAGTTCATACCAGATATGAGGACAATATAAAAAACTAAAAGCAGACAAATTACAGGTACAGTCATCCAGTCAGTTATATGAAAAACCCTGAAGTAGACGAGAGATAGGGGTCCCAGGTTAAGTAGAAAGTGTCTATTGGAGTGTGAAGCATACATGTGATGTATTCGCTGGGAATACACTGCTGTATCACCTTGTGCCATGATTTCTTAGAGGAGGCAGAGTCCTTGATCCAAAAAAGCAAAATAGTCTTCCTGGCAGCAAATGTTAGTAGGTTATAAAGTTGCTTGAGCTTGGGCTGAATCTGAGGACCCATGAGGCCCAGGAGGAGATATTTTGGATTGAGCTGTATGGTAGTATTAAAAATATGGTACAAATCTTTGACCACACCAGACCAATAGTTCTGTATTTTTGTACATGACCACATACAATGAAAATAATCACCAACTTCAGTTTTACATTTCCAGCAGAGTGGGGATAATTGTAAATCCATCTTACTTTCAAGGACAGGTGTTATATGTGTCCGGTGTATAATCCTAAACTGAACAGATTTTGTTCTGTTACAAACTGAAATCTTTGCAGCCTTGTCCCATACATCTAACCAAACCTGAGGCTCAATACCACTATGAGAACACAAGGCATTCTCTACAGTACACAGGTCATTGTTTGTTAATGTGGTATCTAGTAATAAAATGCCTAATTTGCAGGAATCTAAAAAAGTCTACCCTCTCTAAACCAAACTGCTGCTGTGGACATTTTCAATTTAGGGTTCCTTTTGCTTTAGATAAAAGAACTCAGCCACCCTTTAAGCACCTTGATAACCTTATTTGTCAGCAAGAGCGGTATCACCTGCATAGGGTAGAGCAGCCTAGGTAAGACACATATTTTAATAAGGGCGACCCTCCCCAGCCATGACAGGGGTATGGTAGCCCAACGCTCAAGATCTACTTTTATGGCATCCTGGAGAGAGGTATAATTAGCCTTATACATCAAATCAGTACTTTTGTTATTTGTTGTTAAATCTCATTGATAGACTCCACCAGCGTTAGTCAGTCTGTTCCCTACTCTGTCTGTTGCTATACCCAAGCCAACTGGTTCCTACCATAAAACATGAATCTTTACAAAGCTCACAAATATTACGTAAGTCAAACAGGGGAAAATGCGTTTGTTGGAGACTATTTTTAGAGGCAAATGAATCCACCTGTGGAGCTGTAAGGAGTATTTGGGGCAGCAGTACAGTGAATGTGGGACTGAGTAAGAATAAACTACTCACTGTTTTAATAGTTTCTGGACAAAAATGTTGCTGGTGGCGACAAGCCCTGCATTTTTACATCACCCTGATTCCCCTGTTCATGTGTATTGCTTGTGAAGCAGAGCAAAGAACCAGCTTATTTATTGAGATGTTCTGGTTAAAGGCGAAGTGTGGCAATTTAACTTCATCAGAGCATTGCCACAGAGCAGCAAAAGCCCAGAGAGGGTAGGATGAAAGCCAAACTGTGTGACAGTGTGAGAACAGCCTTTCCAGAATGACATGAGAAAAAAGAGTGTGAATGGAAACTGTTGCCTATTTGAAGCCAGCACTATCCAAGTCATGTATGTTTTTACTGTCTGTCGGAATTGTTTTATGTCTTTGACACCAAGGTTATGATCAACCCTTTGTTTATCTCATGACTTAATGATGGGAACTCTTCTCAGATGGGATTCCCCGCTCCGTTCTGAAGGACTGGAGGAAGGTGAAGAAGCTGAAGCAGACAGGGGAGTCTTTCCTGCAGGATGACTCGTGTTCAGAAATTGGACCCAACTTGCAAAAGTGTCGGGAGTGCAGGGTGGTCCGCAGCAAGAAGGGCGAGGAGCCGGCACATTCCCCTGTCTTCTGTCGGTTCTACTATTTCAGACGGTATAACTTTCACCAACTTTACATTTGTTTCCTTTCTCTTATGTTTTTCTGACATTTTTATTCATTCCGATGCTTCACACATCCACCCAATATACATTATTCTTCAAGATCCTGTGGAACCCTGAAGCCCCGAGTAATTGGACCTATAATAAGCCCCTAATTCCTCTTCAAACATGTCTGTGGATGCTTTGCTCTTTTCTTGCCTGACTGCAAGCTCTGATTTAAGAGAGTGCATGTCAAAACAGAGTAACACAGATGGAAGGAGGAAGGAAGGAAGGTCTGTTTTCATAAAAAAAATCCTGCCATGGCTACAACACAGAATATTAAAGTGGTCATATTATGCTCATTCTCAGGTTCATCATTTTTTAGGGCTTGTACCAGAACAGGTTTACATGGTTTCATTTTCAAAAAATACCATAGAACGCTCCGTTTTAGCTATGGAGTGATGCATCTCACTTCTGCAAGACTATGTCGGGAGCTGCACATGTACAGTACCTAGTAAAGGACTACTAGCCAATCACGAAGCAGAGTAGGGCGGGCCCTGAGAAGCCAGTAAACATGGCTTCGGTTTAGCTGTATATGTTCTCCAACATGGACTGGAGTTTCAGAGTGGTGAGTTATTAATCTGTAACAAACGTAGGAGAGGCAGCAGGTGGACGTCTTGTCACTGTGCGCTGCAGCTGAGGGTGTTTTTCCACCAGTGTTTTTGAGGGCATGTCTGACTAGCCGCTAGGTGAGCATTATGACACGTGTTTTTTTGTGATGTCTCTAGAAAGCGGGAAAAAAAGGCTGGACTACAGACAAGCTCTTTTCGGGCGGTTCAGAGCAGTGTTTTCTGTGTGAGATGGGAACTCCCTTTGGGGTAGACTTTGAGCTTTTTCACTTTCCAAAAAGGTATATAACTCAATAAAAGAGAGGGGAAAAGCATAATAAGACCTCTTTAATCATATGGCTTTTGCAGTGTGTAATACCACTTTCTGTGTTTCTCCCTCTCAAACATGCACATTTACTGTGAATGCACATTGAACACACATACATACACACACACAAACACACTTGTGTTGGATAAGCAGCAGTTGCAGTCTGGGGTCTAACGGGGTAAATCTGCCAAAGAGGATATTCTGCTTTATAATCTTTTCCTCACTGCAGATCTGCTGCAATCTCTGTCTCCCCCCTCCCTTTTTCTGCATCTCCATTTGTAAATCTGGCTCTCTCTCACCCTATCTCACCTCCTCCCTGTCTGACCCAGTAGCCTGGGAATTTATGAACCTGTACTTCCAGTGGCTGCAAGATTTTGAAATGAAAAGGGAAAGCTTTATAAATATGTGTGATGTTGTCCTGCCCCTCACATCTCCCTCGCCTACCAAATCCTGGTCAAAAAATGTAGTCTGCTTCAGCAACTTCAGAGAAGTGATGTGAGTGGATAAACTATGCCGCTACATCAGCTACACAATTTACCAGCGTTTGACTGGAGACCATTTCTGACAGAATTCTGAAGAATATCCTACTTTACTTTATGTTTGTGAAGCAAAAGTAACCATAGCTATACTTAATAATGTATGTGGCACTTACCGCTTGTATAATTTATCAGCACTGCAAGGGTCCCTTGTCCAACTGCAATTTAAACAGCATGCAAACATGTTACACGTTGCGCACATATCTGATCATGATAATACATATCTGAGTGTACCCAGTGGTTGTGAATGATGCTTTTCATATGTATCTACTTTCAGTACCTTTACTGGACAAACTAACTAATTTACAAGTAACTTGTTTCCTCCCATGCAGGCTTTCCTACAGTAAAAATGGAGTTATCCGGATGGATGGCTTCTCCACTCCAGACCAGTTTGATGATGAAGCCCTGGCCCTGTGGGTCCCTGGGGTGATGGAGGAGAGCCACCTGGACCAAACCACAGCCAAGTATATCCTCAGCTTCATCGGAGACAAGTTCTGTCAGATGGTTGTGACTGAGAATACTGCAGCCACCTGGGTCAAGAAGGATGGTAAGGTGCCTTGAAAAATGGCTGCCAATTTGATTAAATAACTGTAACTATGTTAACAATTAAACCCGTTTTGTTTGTGTTTCAGCCAAGCTGGCGTGGAAACGAGCTGTGAGGGGGGTGAGAGAGATGTGTGACGCCTGCGAGGCAACACTCTTTAACATCCACTGGGTTTGTCAGAAATGTGGCTTTGTTGTCTGCTTGGACTGCTACAAGGCCAAGGAGAGAAGGAACTCCAAAGGTCAGTTTTGTGTATGTTTGGACAGTTAAAGTTGGAGTCAAATGAGAGGCCAGACAAGCAGGCTATATATAAATGTCAGGTTCACTTACTTCTTTAGAACATGCTTCTGTTCTTTACTTTTCTTTTTTTTTAACGTGTTCTGGCTGCACTGTAAGTTCCAGGTGTTTTCATCCTGGAAGTACAGGTGGCAATGATTCATCAGACCCCCCCCAAAAACTTCATGTATAAATTTGGAAACCTAAACATAAAATCTGAACCTGAACATGACCTGACAAATACTTAATTGACATTCAAAGCAAATGGAAACAGTTGATCTGTTTATTTTTTACTGACTTGCGGTATGCAAACATGTCTTTATAGTTACCAGATTATTATAGTATCTTACAGTACAGTTGTACAATTTACTGCATAACCTTTCTCTAAGTAACCTGGTGTCTTGTCAGCATGTAAACATACTGCATGTGTATGTAAGCTTCCTCCTCTCTAAATCAGCATTTAGTGAAAGGTGTGCATGCGTGCACACTTATGGGGATTATTACAGCAAGTGACTTGTATCTCTCTTTTTTTGATCAGATAAAGAACTATACGGCTGGCTGAAGTGTGTGAAAGGCCAGCCTCATGATCATAAACACCTGATGCCAACACAGATCATACCTGGCACAGGTACACTATACACTCCTGACTCTTTATCTTCCTGTTTACACCATGTCTGCATTTCACGGTCCTTTATTTCTTAGCTGCTTTCTCGAGTCATTTCCTGAACACACATACAGTAGACTAGTGCTGATGTGGGTTGAAGATTGATAATGTTTTTTTTTAACTCAACCAATGGCAGTCGTCATGCGACTGCAGTAATGCATTAACTTTTAATAAAGGTTGAGGTTGTTTTCCCCATAAACCTTTTTCCTGAAATGTGTTTCAGTGCTGACAGAGTTGGTGACTTCCATGCACTCTTTGAGAGAAAAACACAACATCAAATCCTACTGTCCTTGTACCAACAAGCAGAACCTCCTCACCAAACTTCCAGCCACCAACGGAGTCTCACAGGTACTACTGACTATTTCTTTCTGAGCTAGGAGGCTGTGTGTCACAATAATTGTTTTTATAGTTATCTAATATGTTGTTTGAAATGTACTGTAAATGTTAGCTATGGACACCTAACGTGTTGACTTCTAGAAGGCCACAACAGACGGCAGGCAAAACTAGAGTAACCCCAACATGCACCAGGAATAACTTTTAATAAATAACTTTCCCTTGTTGAATGAAATACTATATACTATGTACTCTGCAACCAAGTAATATTTGTTTGTTTGCTCTTAAATTCATGATCACCAAGGTATAATTGTAAGAGTGGAAACCCAATGTTGTTCTAGTGGGCCCTACCTGGCTTACAGATGCCTTACAGATGCTAACTGATGGTTGTTGTTGCACAGAACAGCTACCGACCCTTAAAATTAAATTTCAAATGACCTGAGTCTACCTGCTGGCAGTAACGGTATGGATGCTCTAATGTGCCATTATTTATTCTGGAGCAGACGGGTCAGATGAAACCAATAAACATCTTAAATACCAATCAGGTGGAAAGAGGGTCATGAATTTTATGTTTTCTATTTTATGTTTAAATGCAAAATATTAGAGTTTGGCTGATTATTGAATAAATTGGGAAGTTATTATACATGTTGTTGGGACGATTTTGCCTTTACAGGATCTGGAAGAGGAGCGCTTAAACCTTTCCTGCTTTATCACTGTTTACAGTGACTTTTCACCCTCTCTCTGACCTTCTTTGTATAACAAGCTGAACTTGTCATTGTTCTGTCAACCTTTAACCCTCACCTTTTGCCAGGTTCTGCAGAACGTCCTGAACCACAGTAACAAACTGTCTCTGGTGAAAGCTGAGCCAGGCTCTGACCGAGGAGGCACCAAGGCAGAGACAAACGGAGGAGGTGTTGGAGGAAGCAGTCCAGGCAGCGATGCAGGAAGTGCTGCTGTCACCCCACCAGAGTCCCAGTCACCTCTGCACTTTCTGGCTGATCTGGCAGAGCAGAAATCTAGGGAAGAAAAGAAAGGTGAGGGGAAGTTTTGAGAATGGGGAGAGATTAATTTGCTTTATGCTGTTAACTTTTAGAGTCAGTACAATCCTCTAGACCTCCAGAAAGTACATTAGTGATTAGCAACCTCTTTTTACCCCTGCCTCCCTCCTAACAGAAAACAAGGAGTCAGTGCTGTTGGGTAAATCAGTGAAAGAAGACAAAAGGGGAGACAGCCTGGAGGTCCTGCAGCAGTGTAAAACCACCTCACTCGTGGCTAACAGTACGGAGCAGGGCTCCACACTCAGAGATCTGCTCACCACCACAGCAGGGAAACTGAAGCTGGGCTCTACTGATGCTGGAATCGCTTTTGCACCAGTCTACTCTACTGCTTCACAGGTACATTTATCTACACACCTACCCTAAGTATGCTGTGATATATGTATAATAAATATAAATGTATTATTTATTCATTTATTCTACAAAAACAACATCACATCTCTTTTACCACCTTGTCTTGTCAATGCACACTGCAAAAGTGGGAGAGAAATCAGGTTTAAATATTGAAATATTATTTTTCCTCTTCATAAAGACTGGAAAAGGTGGTCGGACCATGCCCAATATCCTTGATGACATCATCGCTTCAGTAGTTGAGAATAAAATCCCCGCCAGCCGCCAGAACATCACCACCAAACTGTCAATCAAGCAGGAGCCTGTCACCCTAGGCAACAATAACAACAACAACCCTGCCTCTGCTGTTACTGAAGATGCCAAACCAGAGAGGAAGAAGTCAGCGCCTGTTACTGCAGCAGTGTCAGAGGAATCAGCCAATCACTATCCAGATATTTCCCATTGCTGGTTAAACAACAGACAGTTACTGTGGCTCAAAGATCACCGCAACCAGAACAACTGGAAGCTGTTCAGAGAATGCTGGAAACAAGGACAGGTATACATCAGTCGTAGTAGTCATAGCAACAGTACTGTACTAATATTAATTAGTAAAGTTATTAGTGATTCCCGCAGCCAAATGAATGGTTTTGTGTTTGTCCAGCCTGTGTTGGTGTCAGGGATCCATAAGCGACTGAATGCCAGTCTGTGGAAAGCTGACTCCTTCAACCAGGAGTTTGCAGACCATCAGGGAGACCTCCTCAACTGTAAAGACCAGGTGGTGTCCAACTCCGGAATCAAGGAGTTCTGGGATGGATTTGAGGACCTCACCAGTGAGTTCATGTCCGCTTGGTCTCACTGTTCTGGTTTCATTGATTCTAACAGCTGCTTACACACGTCACCGATGTGAGATGATGTCACCATGAACAGTGCTAAACAATTATTGACTCAGTCTAACTAAAGTCGTCTTACTGTTCAGAGCGACCCAAATCCAAGGATGGAGAACCTATGGTCTACAGACTGAAGGACTGGCCATCTGGAGAAGAGTTCATGGCCCTAATGCCCTCAAGGTTTGCATACACACATTTCAGTCTTTTTCACTGTGTTACCCCCTGTGCAGCAGAATCTTTAGCTTTACAACCCAAAACAAAAAATGTAAACTGCTAAAAATGCTAACGATGCATTTCATCAGCACAGGATACAGAAATATGCTAAAGACATTGTGAGCCCTTCTGAAAGAGGTGTCTTTGCAGATATGATGACTTGATGAAGAACCTGCCCCTGCCAGAGTACTCAGATCCAGAGGGCAACCTCAACTTGGCCTCCCACCTGCCATCTTTCTTTGTCAGGCCAGATCTGGGGCCAAGACTATGCTGTGCCTACGGTAGGAAGGAAATCTACTACTCTTCACTCTCTACTAATAAAAATTAGTGAGGAGATAAGATATGATGAGCTTAGTTAGTGGCTAATCAGTAGTTTACCAAGTTGGATTCCAATCACTTCTTGTAGCACAGTCCTGGAGTTCACAAATCTGTCTAGACTCATACATCCACACCTGACAAACATCTGGAGACTGGATTTGATCTATTGGTAGGTGGGTTTACCCCAGGATATGTATGTAGTGAAGAACTACTTGATTCTGGTTGATATTAAGTAGACGTCCCCCTGTCCTTACCCCTGCTGCATTATGCACACCCTTTTGACGTTGCAGTCCATAGTTTTATCATTCCAGTTTAAATGTTTTATGCAGATGGGACCCCCTGTACCCTTCTTCTTATGAATAAGTGTTTTGTCTCCCTGTAGGTGTAGCTGCGTCTCAGGACCAGGACTTTGGGACTGCCAACCTCCATGTAGAAGTTTCAGATGTCGTCTCTGTTCTGGTCTATGTGGGAGTAGCTAAAGGCAATGGAGTCCTGTCTAAAACTGGTAAGGCTTACTTCAGTCAGTTAAATCATCAACTTAAAAGACTGGGTGGACTAACATGAACGTATTCTCAGTTACTGTACAGGAAGGAAGGGAGAAAAACAAAACAATGAAGGAATGAATAAAGGCCTGACTTTTGTTTTGTTAGCTCTGCTCCCCTCCTCCCCCACTCATCATAATTAACACCAGGATTCACAGACACACACTGACACTTGTCATCCTTGGAAATATCCAAATATCTCTCTTCAAAGAGTTGACTTGACTTTAACACTATACTCTTTATAAATACTGTGTCAAGCTGCTGCTTTAGCTGTGTGTTAGAGTTACAGACTTGAATATTTTGTTTTTAATTCTTGTCAGTTTATTTCACAGCACACTTTGCAGAATACAGAAAAATGGAGCCTTAAGGAAACAGATGCTTTAAGAGTTGCAAACACAGGGGTCCTGAATGGAAGATTAATGATACACAATTGAAACACAATAACACAATCAAGTAGTACCTAGCTTGCTGAAATAGCACCCACTTTTCAGTTTCTTTTGGTGTTCTCATTTTTTCAGCCTTGCCTTGTGAGACAGCATTATCTTTTGCATGAATAATGTATAAACAAACACTAAAGATTGTTAGTTAAAAGGTAATGATTTGCTTTCTTCTCTATGTATCATATTGTAAACCAAATAGCTTGGGATTTTTTTACAGTTGAGAAGAGCAAGACTAGTGATGGGTGTTGGATGGATGTATTTTTGACGGACTAAAAGACAAAATACTGAATGATTACTTGATACATTTTTGAAATTTTTTTAATGATAATCAAATGCAGCTTTAGAAACACAAGTGTGTGTGTCTGTGTGTAGGAGTGTTGAAGCGTCTGGAGGAGGAGGATGTAGATGAGGGGGTTCGGAGAAGGCTGAAAGACTCCAGTGAGACACCGGGGGCACTGTGGCACATCTACCTCAACAGAGACATGGACAAAGTCCGAGAGTTCCTGCACAAGGTCAGCACTCTGATAAAGATACTGAAGAACTGCAGCAGCTTCAAATGAAAATGTAGAGGACTTCAGTACAAATATTGATCTCACTAACACCTTCCTCTTCCCCCACTTACCAACCACCACCTCAGCTCTGTACGGAGCAGGGACTGGATGTGTCGCTTGACCAGGACCCAATCAGAGAACAGAGCTTGTACCTGAGCAGGAAGCAGCGTCAGCGGCTGCTGGATGAACACGGAGTTCAGGGCTGGACTGTGGTTCAATTCCTGGGAGATTCTGTACTTATTCCAGCAGGGGCCATGCACCAGGTATATACAACATTCACACTCACACACACACACACACACACACAGATCACCACACATGTAAAATAATGGAAATATTTTCCCTGAGTTATGGGATTCAGATTATTGTTGATTCAGATTTCAGACTTTTGGCACTCGTCATGCATCTTCACAGCCCTTTTAGACTTTTTTATCCAGGGATCAGTAAAGTGTCCTCACATCCTCCCTCCACCCTCTGTCCTGTCTGTCAGGTCCAGAACCTCCACAGTTGTGTTCAGGTCATCAATGACTTTGTGTCTCCCGAGCATGTGGCCAACTCCTTCCACCTGACCCAGGAGCTCCGACCCAATAAAGAGGAGGTCAACTATGAGGACAAACTACAGGTGATGGAACACAGCTCAGTCATTTAACACAACCCTGTTCAAATCATTTTCTAATGTGGAGTGAATATGCTTTCTCTCACTGGCTTTTATTAGATTTACTGATTCAGTCAGCTTCTCTGTGTATGTGTGTGTGTGTGTGTGTGTGTGTGTGTGTGTGTGTCATTACAAAATGTGGACAGAGAGTGGCAGAATGAGTCATCACGAGCGATGTTCTCAGGACATTGAGTCCCTCTGCTCTGAATACACTCCACACATCCTCCCATAGACAGGATTGAACATGAGTCTCTGTCTGCCTGTTTGTAATTAAATTATGTCTATACTCAATATTTTTAACTCCAACTAGATTACATTACATTACATTTAGCTGACGCTTTTATCCAAAGCGTATTACAATTGCTATGCATGTCAGAGGTCACACGCCTCTGGAGCAACGATTGGTCAAGTGTCTTTCTCAGGGACACATTGGTGGATGGGTCACAGTGGGAATCGAAGCCGGGTCTCTCACACCAAAGGCATGTGTCTTATCCATTGCACCATCACCACTAAAAATGAGAAATCCTGTTTCATCATTACTATAAATTGTATGTTTGCGTGAAATAATTCTACAGTGATTACACTTCATGATTCAGCTCCACCCCACCATGTTGTAAACAACATACATACAATACAAGTATGTATTGACAGATGTGTAAGTGTTGAAGAGAGAGCAGTTGAACCCAACTTTGTTTCCTGAAACAATAAAAGGAATGAATAATAGTTTCTTATACATTTAGAACTGGCTCCATCTTTGAACTGTTTGTTTTTTTTAAATATATTTTCTATATCATATTGTCATATACCCCTGAGTGTCATTTACTCAGGGGTGACCTCTGTCTAGACACACTGCTCTGCCAGAAAGGTAGCGCTGCAGAGATGGGTTTCTTAGTGGCCTTCCTGTCCAGGATTCTTCTACTTGAGTAGTCCTGATGGCTCCACACTTCTTCCATATTACAATGATGAAGCCAACTGTCTCCTCAGATGTTCCAAAGGTTTATCAGTCGATAATAGATATCAGTAGATTTTCCCCAAGTCTGTACTTACAGATAACTACAGAGACTTTCCTGGACTTGGCAAGGTGTGCAAGGGGGGAATGTATGAAAATGCCTGAGTACTGTGTGTCTTTCTAAATAATGTCCACTCACTCATTTGGCATAGTTGCACTCACATCAAATCCTAGATAAATCTTAAGAATGGTAAAACAAAACCAGACTGGATCTGAGCTCACTTTACAGGTTTACACTGAGGGATCTGAATCCATATTTAGACCAGGTATTTACTGTGTCCCCGTTTTAATGGATTTTTTTGCTAATGTTCTATAACTGCAAAATCCATAACACAAAATGTCGACTTTGCTGAGCTGCTGAAATTTAAAAACACAACAGGCTGCTTCCATCCTGCCTGCTAAAGACTGGAATCAGGCCTACAGTGATAAAATGTGAAATCACTTTGATTATCATCTAAACTTTATACACTGTTTGAAATTGTGATATAGTATTGTATTTCTGCTTCTTTGTTGTTTGTGTGTGTATTTCCTATTGCCAGTTAACTGTATACTGTATATAGGGTTAAAGGTGAGGTTTTAGGGTCATCGCTCTGAATAGTTTTGTACCGAAGTTAAATAATTAAACAGGGAGAACATAAATCTGTATATAGTACGCATATTGCAGGAGTATCTGAGAACTGAAGAGGGGGATGCAGCCCTGAAATTACAAAATAATGTTTTACAAAACTTTCATACATAGCTTGCAAAGTGTGGAAGTGTGTGTGTATAAAGGATGCTGTAGGTTCACAACGATTCAGGTCTGTCCTAACACAACGGTCAGGTGCCCATAGAAACAGGTTGTGCTTGCTATAATTGTTCCTCTGTTCCGACAGTGGAAGTGATGGGGGGCAGACAACCTCTGGGTGTTACTATCCCTCCACTCCAGCTCAGTAAACACACTTTGGAAAGTATTCACTTAATTTATCGAAATCAAGCTGCCAAAGCACCATTTACATCATTTACTTTGGCAGTGCATCAGAGAGGGATCTCCTGATGGCCAGTAGAACAGCAAGTAAAACCAGTTTCTGTGTTCATATGGGCACCTGGTTGTTGTTTTTAATATGGACATGAAAATATAAACCTTGATTGGCTCATAGCCACTTCAAATACTACACTGAAGCTGATGATACATGGAGCAACTTTTAGAGCAATGGTGCGGGGCAATGTTGCTGTCAATGGTAATGAGTAAAGATTACTACCATAATCCCCTTCCACCATCACTCCCCCACCCTCCCCGCACCACCGCTGTTCAAAATATAGTCAGACTTGCCACCAGCAACATTGCTCAAAAAGTTGCCCCGTGTATCATCAGCTTTAGTTTTTGGTTCAGGATTGAAGTACGAGCTCTGTCCCAGTCTGACGTTAGTAATGAAACTCTTGTGGAATACGTGCAGCTGTGAAAACTCTGTCTCCTCATCCTCAGGTGAAGAACATCCTGTACCACTGTGTAAAGGAGGCCGTCAGCTCCCTGAAGAGGGGTAGCGCTGAGGAAGATGACGAGGAAGAGAACTCATGACACCCCATCGGCGGCATCCACGCCTTCAAGAGAGGGACATGACTCCCATGAGCACCTCGCTCTGCCTACTCCCACCTCCTCACGTGGAGGACTGTTATCACGTGACTGCAAGAGGTGGTGATGTGACCCATGGGTACTGCACCTGCATCACACATCCAGGTGGCCAGTGAGAGCCACGCCCATCTCCATCATCACCCCAAACCTTCAGTGCCAAGAGGAGACAAACACAAGACATGAGGGGCCACTGGATAGGCAGGGATTAAACCTCAACTACCACACCTCTTTGTGTTTCATAAACTCAGAACACAGGGAGGACAGAGGATGAAGAGGGCAGCATGTTGGTTGTGAGCCTTATAAAAGCCACTACGCTGGAGTGAAACAGCACTACAAGCCTCCAATGAAACAAAACGGAACTCTTTAGTGTGAATGATGGTGCGTTTAGCTAAGATCCAGTTTCCTTGGAGACTCAGACTGGTCACAGGTTTGATGGCAGCAGCAGTGATGATGAAGACACAGCTGCTCTCTCATTGTAATCTGCTGTGGATTATAAAGGCCAGGAGGTTTAATCCCTGTTTTTAGCAGCAGCCCACACAACGTCTTGGATAGAAGATTTTTCTGATCACGTCAGCATCACCAGCAGCAAGCAGCATCAGGATCAAAAAAAGCAAGAAAAAAGGTTTGAGGGGGAAAAAATGCAAAACAGAAATCTCAGATGTTTCAGTCAGCAGGCAGTGAGCTCTGCTGCTCCCTCCTTTTTTGTTCCTTCTGTGATTTGTCTGTTCATGTCCTCTTTTCTAGTTCTGTTGTTTTATTTCCTCTGTGAAGATGTATTTATTTTATAGCTCTATGGTATGCGATGTTATTGAGAGAAAAAGCATTGATGTAAATGTGACTTGTACAGTTTTTTTTCTTTGCTATGTGATTTTCAGTTGTAATACGGCTCTACTGTGATGGAGGACACACACACACACACACACACACACACACACACACCAGCTAATGCCTGTAACTTTGGGAAATGTTGATGCTCTACAGTCCTCATGCCATAAATACATTTATTGAAAATGAACTGCCAAACTATTGTAAAGATTGTGTAAACTTGTATTATGTAAAGAAAGAAAAAAATGGCTTCTACACTTCAGCATTTTATGAAAAAAAGTATTTGCTGTAACATTGAGACATTTACAAAAAAAGATGTAATTTATTTAAAAAAGAATGGGTTGTCTTGTTTTTGTTTTGTTAAGATTTACTATGGTGAACTTTTGAAGTTAAAAGATAAAATAATGAAAACTATAATATGTAAATATATACATATAAACAGTCACTGAGGTATTTTTTTAAAACATGGCTTGCTTCAAGTTCACATTTTAAAGTGCAAGTGTTACATGCTTTGTACATTGAAGTTCAAAAGGGTTTTACATTTTCCATTAAAATGGATTTATCAAACGTTTTGTGTTGTGTTTTCAATGTAGGGCTACACAATTTGGAGAAAAAGTCATATTGTGATTATTGTGGACAATATTACGATTTGCGATTCAATTATGATGGAACAAATGGTGAGTCTACTTCCTTGATTATCAAGGAAAATGCACAAAAAATGACATTTTAGATTGTGTATTTTTCAACTTGAACAAAGTTAAACAATAAATATTTAGAACAATAACTAGTATAACGTATAACCGAACCAAGGGGAGCGTGTTGCTCTACGAGGAGGCGGCTAGAAGGAGCAAATATTGGCACACTGGCAATGGCTAAATCTACATCTGTCCACTGCAGAGGCTATATCCACTATTTCTATTTATTTATAAGGACAGCACACATTAATCAACATTACTGTAAATGAGCCAGTGTTAGCCTACTGGCTAATTTTCAACTGCAGTCCTTCAGCAAGATGTTACCTTAATTGATACCTGGAGGTGGAGCTAGTTTACATGAGTGTATTAGTATAATATTATAACATTAAATAAAGAGTATAATGTTCAGTTAATAGTATACTGTTAGTAGAACAATAAAAGCCTATATTAATTACAATAGTGTCATTTCATCTAATAGTATACTATTTTACCACTAGTTGAATATTATTTCAACTATTTAATTAATATAAACTATTAGGCTTGGTTGTAACGTTAGCGGGTTCACCATGTCATTTCTGTGGGGTTTATTTAATCCTTGTGCAAGAAAAAAGGCTCTATATTGGTGTCTTATTTGTTAATGCTATGAACTAACATCTGAAAGTTTGCTGTAGAACGTCAACCTTTTTTTAATGTCCCGCCCCATCCAGGCTGTGATTGGTCTGTTGCCAAATGGTGACTGACAAGCACGTCGGCTTAATGAAAAGTTGAACGTGTTGAACAACAAAAGGCACCGATACAGTTAACGTTAAATGGCCAGCGAGCCAAACCCAAACCTTACTTATCTTCCCTGTTTTCTTCTGTCCTACTGCTTTAGCTGCTGCCGAAGTCTCTCTGTCTCAGAGCCACCGGAGCACCGGCATTTTTCTGGGCGCTCTGGAGACAAGGCCTGTAGCGGTAGGTTGTTTTAAAAGTTACTCACACACTGCTCATGAATCATTTTTCTGATTGCACATATCTGTTTGTAGAGGCACGTGAGAGAGCTCTGTGTGGGCGGGGACAATGAGGAGACAGCGGCGCTCAGGGAGGAGAGAGTCGCACACACCTTTTCTGTTTTAGAAATCGCACATGTCGACATCGTGATTGCGATTAGATTAATCGTGCAGGCGCGATATTCAGGTGAAGACACTGGAAATGAATAACCAAATGGGTTTACATTTTCTTTGTTGTTCCATTCAAAAATTACTAAGGAAGAACCTTTTTGCGATCATTAAAGAATTTTCAAATCACACCCACAGTAATATACAGTATTTCCTGTTATACCATAATTTACTGTGTTTCCTGGATCACAAAAGTCACATTTCCAGAAAGGGATGAAATATGTAAACTGGTGAAAGAGTTTGCCTTTGATTTTGTGTCAGGGTAAATGGGCGACTTATGATCGGGTCAGCACAACAAAACCCGTTCAGCTCACAACTTAATAACAAGAAAATAAATATCTACAGGTGATGCTCAATCTCAAAAGGATGTTGATAGTAAGTGGTTGAAAGTTAGAAAAAGGTCTGGATGCTATCCACTGACCACGTGTTAAGACTTGCGCTGTGTGATCTCACCACTAGGTGGTGCTGTTATTCCATGTTATGTTGAGAAAACAATATCAAATCAAAAATGTATTCTTGTATGTATGTCATGTTTAGTGATGCATCGCCAAGATCTTGCAGTGATTGATGGCCAGTACAACCAACCAAAGCAGCCTTCTTTAGCCCGAATTTCAAGGACATCACCCATCTTTTCCCACCTTGTGTGTAGGCCCTACTCATGACTTGTTCAGTTTTGTGCTATGTCTGAAATCCAGACTACAAACTGGGTGTATCCCACAGCTGCAGTCGGATTCTTAGTCTTATGTCATAAATGTAAATAAAAAGCCGCTGAAGCCCTGATGTCAGTGTGTTCACTGGTTCATGTCTGGATCCATCACACAACAGCCATGTTCACGTCTTCTTTACTGATGTTATCTTACAGGATGTGTAGGCATTAAAGTTATTGTTAAGTCATCCTTCTCTTTTTCACTTCTTCTGTCGGTAGAATCCACTTGAGCAAAGATCATTTGCATTTAAACTCTGGCCAGTTTATTACAGGCTGTTCCTTCAGTGTGTTATTTTTTAAACTATTATGTAGTCTGCAGATACACAGACTAGCTGTATTCAGAATTGCTGTAAATCTTTGTGATGATGGTGTGACATCATCTTCCTAGCACCATTAAACAGAAATAAAGACAACATAACAGTGAAGTGACACTGAACACATAATTTGTATCTGAGGGAGCTGCTGAGGTGTCAGTCAGCGTCTTAGTATTCATCTTTTATTTAGAGTGTCACTGTACCTTGTGAGGTTTTAACTGCTCTTACATGCACTACTCAGACATCACAGGAAGAGAGAGCTGCAGAGCAATCCAGACATTCTTATTGTTTATAGTTCACTGTGAGACCAACTATCAGAGCTGAGTTCATGTGTTGCATACATATCAGTATAATACAGAATTGATTTGCAGCAGTAAGACGAATTAATGCATATGAGTCAGAGGACTGCTGAATTAGCTTTGGAAAAGAAAAGGTGAATCATCATAGAATCCAGCAGCAGGGCGCCAGTCTCTGTCTGTGTCAGCCTCATCCTGTAGCTTTATCACAGACCAAATGAAACTTCAGATCAAATAATAAACACCAGAAATGCATTGGGATTCCTTATCTACAACAATTCTGTAAAGACAAAGACTAAAGGTAATAAAATTCAGTGAGAGAAAGCCAATATGACTTTAGAGGAACCTGATTAAGAAACAGTGCATGGCCAGATTCATCTGCTGGGGGGCCTAGGGAGAAATTTTGATGCCCCCCCCCACACACACACACACACATACACACATTAAATGAACAGACATTTCTAAGAGCCAGCTGAATACTGGTGTGCTCACTGGAACACTCTATGATGAGCAGCTTGATAGCTGAACGCTCTGGCTCCTAGTCTACTTTTGGAGACTCTAGGAACCGCAAGTAACCCTGCATTCTGGGAGCGCAGTGCTCTGGTGGGGTAGTAAGGTACTATGAGCTCTACAGGAGAACTATGATCTCTTTTCATGGTTCTTATCAGTACACGTGACCATGATCATATTGACGTTGGATCGATCTCTGGCAATCTTCTGCAGATGTGTCCAGACATCCAGCATTCCTTGTGTCACAGAGGGGCTTCTGATCACGAGGCTGCTGGTCATAAACTTTCCACCTTCATGAAGAAACAATTTCCTCTGTGGTGCTGATGGATGGAGAGTAAGGTGGAAGGAAACGGGCTGTAAACACTCGCCACATCGTCGTGTACAATTACAAAATGTTCTGGATTTGCCTCACCTGCCCCCTCTCCTCACTCGGCCAATCTTTGATAGAGGTCATCGAGGATTGAAACCAAGGGCCGTATTCCAAAAGTGGCCTTTTATTATATGGCACACCTGTTGTCTGATCAGCATCTTATTTTGCCACATCTGTGAGGTGGATGGATTTCCTCAGCAAAGGAGAAGTGCTCACTAACACAGATTTGTGAACAATTTGAGAGAAATAGTCCTTGTGTACACAGAGAAAGTCTTAGATCTTTGAGTTCAGCTCATGATGGAGTGTTGTGTTCATAATTTTGTTCAGTGTAGTATGTTTTATATGTGTGTGTTTAGCATGAAGGGGCTACAGCTCAGTTTAACAAATACATTACCCTGATTAATAAATAACAATTCTGATTCATTTCTGTGAGGTAGCACAATCCAATCAATAAAGGAGAATAAATAATGGAATCTTGGTTTATGCTGTAAGATATTGACCCTAACCCTGTTATTGCTTTGAGATCATTTTGTAGTCAGTGTTACTGTTGCCTGTGTTCTGGTACCAGAGTTGGTACTCCGATGTGTCAGGTGATTTTGTTCGTGCATTATGGATGTGAGATGAACTGAAGCTGAGCTGCATGTCGGTAAAGAGAACGGTGTGACCAGTTTTCAAAAAGTGAACTCAGTGTAGAGACATGTACGGAAGCACTGAGTAGTAAGTGAAATAGAGATTGTCACTAAATTGTCTTCTCTCATGTTCATGATGTAAAGACAGGTGAGAAAAATACAATTTCTTTTATCTGTGAAAAAGTTTTGGCAGGATCACTTTTCATTCTGATTTTTTAGGTTCAGATTTTTCCTTCAGTTACATCTTCTTCTTTGACTTTCTTAGAGTTAGTTTTTCCTCAATTGCTTAACCCTTAAGAGTTCCTCGGGATATTTTGTGCCATTCCGTTTATTTTCAAGCCATTTTGGCTGTGTTGAATATATATAGCTCAAATTTGCCAGAGGATATACTTTTTAAAGAAATTTTCAAATTGTCGTGTCAGTTCCTAAAATTAGCTTAAAATGGCTAAGCTACGTAAAAACCGACACATTCGTCCCTTAGGACAAAAAATGCCCCATTGAAAATGGGTTTTTTTGATCCCGCATTTATCCTAACCTAAACTGATGCATTCCTTTATGTTAATATTTCATTTTACACTACTAGCTTTCAATTTTTTATTTTTATATCTGTCCACCAGTTTGTGCTACTTTTTCCCCTTTTACAGCATGCAGCAAAATTTCACACTTTTTAACTGTTTTCTGCGAGGGAGTCTTGCCCCTGAAATGATATGTGTGTGTGTGTGTCATATTGATGTTGGATGATGGTGTCTGTGTAAAAGAAAGGTCTGTGTGTGTGTGTGTGTGTGTGTGTGTGTGTGTATGTGCATGCGTGTGTCCAACTTCATCTTCAAAGTCTTTTCTCTTTGAAGGCCACACTCTGCATTATGAACTAATCCAGGAATGAAAACGATGAGCAGCGAGAACCAAAACAAAATTGGGACATTGTTTTTGTTCTCATTCAGGTTGTTTATGCAGGTGCACTGCAGCCATGGTTAAACACTCACTGGCCACTTTATTAGGTACACCTTACTAGTACCGGGTTGGAGACCCTTTTGCCTGCAGAACTGCCTTAGGCCTAGTCCACACGGACGCGGGTATTTTTATAACTGGAGTTTTTCCTGTGTTTCAAAAAAAAAAATCTGAAAATGCAAAAACATGCTATCAAGCGCTACCAAGATCATGCCAAACCACCAGGAGGCAATATGACCCTAACAGTAAAGCCATGTTGGCCAATCAGTGCCTAATAATATCGGAAACAAAGCAGGCAGTGGCCTGACATCAAACACAGCAGACAACGCTGCACGCACTCTTACATCGCAAGGCAAAAACTCTTTTACTGTCAACATAACACTGCAACATTTGCAGCATTTCTTACAATCATCACCCTGGCAGGGGTTTTCTAAAATGTTTGAATTTCAGTGACCTGATACTACGTTTCCATGTGTACGGTACGAACGCATAGAAAAAGTCACAGTTTTGAAAATACCCGTGTTCGTGTAGACAGGGCCTTAATTCTTCGTGGCATATTTTCAACAAGGTGTTGGACACATTCCTAAGAGACTTTGGTCCGTATTGACATGAGAGCATCATATAGTAGTAGTAGTTGCTGCACATTCATGATGCAAATCTCCCGTTCCACCACATCCCAAAGGTGCTCTATTGGATTGAGTTCTGGTGACTGTGGAGGCCACTGGAGTGCAGTGAACTCACCGTCATGTTCAAGAAACCAGTTTGAGATGATTTGAGCTTTGTGACATGGTGCATTATCCTGCTGGAAGTAGCCATCAGAAGATGGTACACTGTGGTCGCATTTATACAATGGTCACTGGGGCTCCAAGTGTGTCAAGAAAATTTCCCCCACACATTACACCACCACCAACCGTTGATCCAAGGCAGGATGGATCCGTGCTTGTTGTTTACGCCAGAATCTGACCCGAGCATCTGAAATCGAGACTCAGACCAGGCAACGTTTTTCCAATTTTTCTATTGTCCAGTTTTGGTGAGCCTGTGTGAACTGTAGTTTCCTGTTCTTAGCTGACAGGAGTGGCACCCGGTGTGGTCTTCTGCTGCTGTAGCCCATCAGCTTCAGGATTCAACGTGTTGTGCATCAGATATGGTATTCTGCATACCTTGCGAGTGATGATTGGTCATTTGAATTTCTTTTGCCTTTCTGTCATCTCGAACAAGTCTACCCATTCTCCTCTGACATCAACAAGGCATTTCTCGTCCACACAACTGTATATTTTCTCTTTTTCAGACCATTCTCTGTAAACCCTAGAGATGGTTGTGTAAATCCCAGTAGATCAGCTGTTTCTGAAATACTCAGACCAGCCCGTCTGGCACCAACAACCATTCAGATGTTTGAACTACAGCAAGTTGTCTTGACCATGTCTACATGCATAAATGCATTAAGCTGCAGCCATGTGATTGGCTGACCAGTTATTTGTGTTGATAAACTTGATTGAAATTGATCATGTGTACCTAATAGTCTAAGTATGAGCAGGAGTAGTCAAGTAGTCATTTTGGAGATGGCAAGACAGCACACAGGAGAATCTGGAAATGATCATATATCATTCTAAACTAAGATTATGAACTTTAATCTGCCATTGCAGAAAAAACAATGCATCAAAATCAATCTTGCTGCCAATCACTGACCCATTTCAGGCCCTGATAATAATAATCAAGTATTCCTTGAATTGTTTTTTATGGAAATTATTTGTTTTTTGATAAAAATAACAGTGGAGTTATGTAAACATAATGGCATTTAAAAGGGTTAAAATCCCCCAAACATAATTAATGTTTGATATGTATATTTCAGGCTGAAGTAACTTTGAAAGATTGAGTAGTTTAAAGTTGAAAAAAAAAAAAAAAAATGTTTTTGGGAAGGAGCCCAGGGACAATTAAGTTTTTTTTAAAGGAACTCTTAAGGGTTAAACACTAACCAGGCCTTTGAACTAAAATTTCTAAATTTTTTAA